CATGCGGACGGTGGCACTGGGGCCTTCGGTTGAGTTCCCTACGGGGCCACGAAATTCGGGACTGGATGGGTGCAAATGCCAAATGGGTGTTTCGGGAAGCTTGCGGACGGTCCCACTGGGGCCTTCGGTGGAGCTCCCTGTGGGGCCAGGACACGCTGCATTGGGTGGGTGAAAATGCCACATTGGGTGTGCGCAACGCATGCGGACGGTGGCACTGGGGCCTTCGGTGGAGCTCCCTATGGGGCCACGAAACGCTGTAATGGGTGGGTGAAAATGCCAAATTGGGTGTGTCAGGACGCACTCGGACGGTCCCACTGGGGGCCTTCGGTGGAGCTTCCTAGGGGGCTTCGAAACGCTATCCTGAGTGGGGGGGACGCATGTGGACGGTAGCACTGTGACCTTCGGTGGGGCTCCCCATGGGGCCACAAAACGCTGTACTGAGTGGGGGTGACGCATGTGGACGGTGGCACTGGGGCCTTCGGTGGAGCTCCCTATGACGCCACGAAACGCTGCACTGAGCGGGGGGGACGCATGTGGACGGTGGCACTGGGGGCCCTTCGGTGGAGCTCCTTTTGGGGCCACGAAACGCTGTACTGAGTGGGGGGGACGCATGTGGACGGTGGCACGGGGGCCTTCGGTGGAGTTCCCTATGGGGCCACGACACCTGTACTGAAAGGGGGGGACGCATGTGGACGGTGGCACTGGGGCCTTCGGTGAGCTTTGTATGGGGCCACAAACGCTGTAAGCTGAGTGGGGGGACGCATTGTGGACGGTGGTAATGGCGCCTTCGGTGGAGCTCCCTATGGGCCAGGGGTGGGGGGGGGGGGGGGGGGGGGGGGGGGGGGGGTGGGGGGGGGGGGGGGAAGAAAAACGCTGTTACTGAGTGGGGGGACGCATGGTGGACGGTGACATTGGGGCCTTCGTGGAGCTCACTATGGGGCCACGAAGCGCTGTACTGAGTGGGGGGACGCATGTGGACGGTGGCACCGGGGCCTTCGGGGGAGCTCCCTATGGGGCCACGAAGCGCTCTACTGTGGGGGGACGCGTGTGGACGGTGGCACTGGGGCCTTCGGGGGAGCTCCCTATGGGGCCACGAAGCGCTGTACTGAGCGAGGGGGACGCATGTGGACGGTGGCGCTGGGGCCTTCGGGGGAGCTCCCTATGGCGCCATGAAACGCTGTACTGAGTGGGGGGGGCGCATGTGGACGGTGGCACTGGGGCCTTCGGTGGAGCTCCTAATTGGGCCACGAAGCGCTGTACTGAGAGGAGGGGGGGCGCATGTGGACGGTGGCACTGGGGCCTTCGGTGGAGCTCCCGATGGGGCCACGAAACGCTGTACTGCGTGGGGGGGGCGCTGGGGCCTTCGGTGGAGCTCCCTATGGGGCCACGAAGCGCTGTACTGAGTGGGGGGGGCGCATGTGGACGGTGGCACTGGGGCCTTCGGTGGAGCTCCCTACGGGGCCACGAAGCGCTGTATTGAGTGGGGGGGGACGCATGTGGACGGTGGCACTGGGGCCTTCGGTGGAGCTCCCTATGGGGCTACGAAACGTTGTACTGGGCAGGTGAAACGCAGGGAAGAGGGGGAGGGAGGAGGGAGGAGGGGGAGGAGAGGAGAGGAGGAGGAGGAGAACGCGGGGACCGTCTCTTCAAACAGAGGACCCAGCAACACAGGTCGGTTGGGAGAAATGGTCAAACAAAATCGTCCCCAGACGATGTTTCACTATTTTAGGATATTCCCCCTGTGGAGGGACAGGCCCGACTTAAGATTAGAAAATCGACGGAACGTTGTTTCCTGACGACGACGACGACAAAAAAAAAATACCCATGGCCCACGGCTGCGGGTAGGGGGTAAAGGAAGGCGGGAAAGGAGGAGCGGGGAGAAATCTACATGACCTGCATCCATGAGTTCTGTGCAGAATATTCAGACGTCCCGCGTTCAAGTAGCCTACACTTCGCAGGCACGGTCAGCCGAAGCTTCGCTTGGCGTCCGTCTGGAACCACGGCGCCCATAGGGCGTTCAAGTTGTTCCCTGCGTTTGAGTTCCGAATCACTTGGACGTGGATTCACTGACTGATGTTGCACTTGACGAAGCACACCTCAACTGTGAATCGGCCACTTGATGTCCCGCACCAAAGATTTGATATTTGATCTACAGACTCGAAGTACAATCTGCAATAGACCTAGCAATGTAATTCGCAGACAATTTCTGGCCGATGTTTGGTATGAGCAACGCTCGCATCCAAATGTTACAGCAAGTCTCATGACACCGTCAGCCAGTCAACAACCGCTGCACATTCGATCTGCTAGGGGATACCGCCTGTGTTTGGATGTCGCGAGCGGGTGCTTGCGCCATGAATGAGTAAATGAGTCTGCCATCCCATTATCGTGAAACCTATCGAGAGGTGATTTTCTGCCGAAGTACCGATCTGACTCGTCGGGCAGCACAGTGTCAACGTCCACGCCAGACGCACAAAAATATGAATGAATCATCTCCATGCGTGTTCTCACTTCAATGTTTCCTGAATGACCAGCTGGTCGATACTAGAACGCCTTTTGCTGTACAATCGTGGAGCAGTTTGACAACGTCGGCCCAGGGTCACGCCATGGAACAAACCTGTGGCACCCAAGTAATTGGAACGATCCATCAAGCTTGATTCGGGGACGCACTGTGCGCCATTGCTTCACGGACTTACCCAACGCCGCAAAGGTCTAAGCACCGCTGGCCCTGGCCCAGCACCGGCATGTAGACAAGCAGCCACACTGGGCGGGTTTCGGCGCAACCCCGAAACGCCTGAGCGTGAGCTTGATTTTCAAAGGACAAGTAGCCGGCGCCGGGGCGAGAGCGCCAGGACGCCTATCGGGGTCCAAGAGTAATACATGCTAAGTACTTGATATTCAATCATTTAGAGACTGTTCGCTCTTATCTGCTCGCGGGCCACTCAGCACGTACATCTCAGACCCTCGACACCCGCCCCCTGTCTTCGATCGCACCCCCTTCGGGGTACATCTTTCTTACCCGCACCGTGTATTTCGTGCAGCCCCTAGGGCGGGAAAAGAAAGGACGGGTGGAAAAGGACGGGGCACGGGGGATTGAGGAGGATGGAGCACGAGAGGGAGAAGCAGGAGAGGGGGCTGGCAGGAGAAAAAAAAACGTAGCAGAGCCAGACGGGCAGATCGGGCGGGAAAAACGGGCGGGTCGGGAAGGCGGGTCGGAAGGCGGGCCCAGGCGGCCAGGTCGAGCAGGCGGGCTGCTGAAGCGTGCATCCTGCATGAATCGCGCGGAAGTCTCAAGCGATAACGCGATTCCCAAATAAATCATCTAGAAATCCGCAGCGAGAGCGTGATTCCTGAGCGTCGAGGGCGCGGCGTCTGAATGAATGGCGAGGAAGTCCCACGCGAGAGCGCTATTCTTGCATAATTTGAAGACGTCCTGCGCGAGATCGCGGTTTGGGAACCCTTGTTGATGTTGTTGTTGTTGTTGTTGTTGTTGTTGTTGTTGTTGTTGTTGTTGTTGTTGTTGTCGTTGGTGTTGTTGTTGTAAACCAGAGGCCAACAACCCAATTTGGTACCCCCTCATTTGCCCTTCTCAAACACCAGGTGCGACTCTGGGAGAAACACTTGTCAAGACAAACGCAATGGTTACCGGACGGGAGGGATCAATAATAATCGTTCCTTAAAATCAACCATAAACACCAACAGCAGCAGCAACAACAACCAACTGTTAAGACTGTTCGATCGAATCTTCTCGCGGACCACTCGACAAATACATCCCAAACCCTCGACACCCGTCCTCCTCGTCTGCGGTCGTGCCCCCTCCGGGGTACATCTTTCTTGCATGCACCGTGGACTTCATGCAGTCCCTGTTTTTAACGGCAAGCAAAAGCACAGGCAACCAGTGAGCATGCGAGCGCTCCTTAAGGTGTGAGGATGGTTACACTTTGCATGTTGGCACAAAACAACTGCACCTCCATTGAAACAGCCAGCAGTCCCTCAGGCAGGGCAAGCGAAGAGAGAAGGAAACCAAACGGCACAAACATAAATTGTTGGCGCTCCGCGCGGACTTCTTGGATCCCGCCTTGGGGCGCGGATCGCGCCAGGGGCGGCGCCAGGGGGGGAAGGCCCTGCGCGGATCCAAGGCATCCGCGCGGAGCGCCCAAACCTTTGCATGGCGTTTTTTTGCTTCTTCAATGGAAGGAGGGATCAAGTGGGGGAGGGAGGAGGATGGAGCACGAGAGGGAGGAGCAGGAGGGGGGCTGGGAGCTGAACAAACACGTGGCAGCATGCGATGTCCAAGCAAATCGTGAGGAAGGCCAAAGCAAGAGCAAGAGCGCGATTCCTGAGAGTCGAGGGCGCAGCGTTTGAGTACATTGCGAAGAACTCAGACGCGAGAGCGCGATTCCTGTATAAATCGTGACAAAGTCCTGGGCGAAACTTCAACAAACTGTGATGGAGTATCAGGCGGGAGCCGTTGTTGTTGTAACTCGGCGGCAATGGGGCCAAGTTGACCCTCAAGACTGTCCCTGATAGAAAAACAAGGTACGAGCCCCCGGAGGGGCACTTCAATTGAAAAAATACCATGTGCGCCTGAGGGAGGATCAACAATAAGTAAGTGTCAGAAGTGAAAGATCAACGGAACAGCAACGCAACAGAAACACGCACCGCCGAACACCAATGCAGCCAAGCGCCCAGAGACAATCAATGATTGTTCGTCACTCTCACTCTGGTATAGACGTATAGACAGATGTACCCCGATACATACATATGCGTACATACACAGACACGCATGAACCCGATGCATTATTCAGGAAGGTGCAAGTCAATGCCACCTGAGCCAAAGTAATCTCAACGCAAACCCATCTCACACAGACAGCGGTGAATTCACTATTCGATGTGATACGCCACCCTCCTCCTTCTCCGCCCCTCCCTCCTCTTCCCTCACTCCCTTCTTCATCCATCTCCGTCGGCCACTCACCTCCAGGGCGGCTGGAAGGGGGAGGCGCCTGTGGTCGTGTTCGCAAATCCAGGGCAAGAGGGGCTCTTGTCCATGGGAATCTGCGCCACGGTGTGCGTCTTGGGCAGGAATGTGAGCCTCGAAGCGCAGCAGGCTGGCCCACGAAAGACTGCACCAGCCGCCCAAAAACAGATCAAACACTAGACTGTTGGAGATTTGAGCTGCTTGACGTAGCCCGACACTCACGCATTACGTGGTTTACCATGTTTGCTGTGCCTGGGGGGTTGCTTGTTGGCCTGTCCGTGGCCCCTCTTGCCCATCAAGGCGACATCACCACCGGCTTTCCGGGGGGGAAACGTCCATGCACAGATGCAAAGCCACGACGTATCAGAAATCACGTACCATGGACGGGGAGGGGAGGGGAATGGAAGGACACCTCTACGTTTGAATATTTACTCAAGCCATGCAGCCCAGGATCCAAGCCCGCAGGGTCGGATCTTTCCCCTAAGAACGTGAAAGGTGCGGCCTAGATGGGAGGGGCAGGGCCCGCAACGCCAACGGAGTTGCATAATGTAACGCTTCGGTGAGGATGAGGATGATACCCATCGGTGGAGAGAAGTAGGTAGAAACATAAAACAGCAAGACGTTGAACGTATTGGGCTTCCGCCAGCCCTCTGAGGAGGAAGGAAGAGGGAAAGCCGACAACGCTTGAAATATGAGTGTGCCTAACGTAGATTGGAATATTGGAAAGGAGCGTGTTCTACTGAACTTAAAACAGTATGATAAGACAAAAAGGCGGCTGCTAAGTTATCGTAGCGGCAAAACCGGGAGGTTCGAACCCTTCCCCCCCCCTCCTGTAAACCGGGGGGGGGGGGGTCACTACCGGTTCGAACCCCATCCCCCCCCCCCCCCAGGTCATCATGAAAAAGGGTGGGGGTCACTACCAATTCGACCCCCCCCCCCCTCTCGAACTCAAAAACCGGGGGGGGTCATTACGGGTTCGAACCCCACTACGGGTTCGTAACCCCCCCCTCCCCCCCTACTCTGAAGTCGGAGGGGGGTGCGGACGAGTGGTGGGGACCGCTGGTGGTGTGACAGTGGTAGGGACAGCGGGACAGTGGTGGGGGACAAGTGAGACATGGTGGGGACGGTAGTGGTTGGGGGACAATGTGGGAACAGTGGACAGTGGTACGGCGGTGGGGACGGTGGGTGGTGGGGACAGTGGTGTGGGGACAGTGGGAATGTGGTGGAAACAGTAGGACAGTGGAGGGTACAGTGGTGGTGGGGACAGTGGTGAAGGCGGTGGCGAGAACGGCGGTGGGACAATGGAACAGAGGTACAGTGGGGACAGTGGCGGGGACAGTGGGGACAGTGGTGGGAACAGTGGGACAGCTCAGTGGGACAGCGGAGGAATCAATGGGACAGTGGGGACAGTGGGGATAGTCGGGCAGTGGTTGGGGCCGTGGAGAAATTTGGGAGAGTGGAACCGTGGTGGGAACAGTGGTGGGGACAGTGGGGACTGTGCGACAGTGGTGGTGGCACTGGTGGGGACAGTAGGGGCAGTGGTGGAACCAGTGGGGACAGTGGTGGTGAGGACAGTGGCGCTGGGAACAACAGTGGGAGTTGTGGTGAGGACGGTTGTAGGGACGGGGAATCGTTAGCTGGCGGCGGTGGAGAGGGGAGGGGGAGGGGTTCGAACCGGAGGTAGTGACCCCCACCCACCCTCTCCGTTTCGAGGGGGGGTGGGGATTCGAACCGTATGGCCCCCCCCCCCGGTTTTCGAGGGGGAGGGGGGGGGTGGAGGGGTTTAGGGGAGGGAGGGGCGTTTTTCCGGGGGGAGAATGGGGGGGGGTCCAGCAAACAAAAAACAAAAGAAAGCAAGAAAAAAAAAAAAAAAAAAATAACAAAAAAATATATAAAAAAAAAAAAATAAAAAAAAAAAAAAAAAATAAACATAGAAATAAAAAATAAGAAAAAAATAGGGGGAGGGGGGATTTTCGGAAGGGGGGGGGGGGAACCCCGGGTTCCGGAGGAAAAGGGCGGCAATTTTCCACAGTAAAGCGGCGGTGGATCACGCTCTCTCGAATGACCGATGGGTAAAGAGACCTGAGATGAACCCGTAGAGAACCAACGGTTGCGTGTAGACTTCCAATCTTGCTGGAAATGCCACCCAACAGCTTCCAAGGTGGCATTGCGTTGTCTATGTGCACGTCTCCAATGTGTCCCAAAATTTATTCCAAGACAGCAGGAGAGAGCTCGATATTCCCCAGAAGCAGCCCCCGACATAGGTTCTGCTGAAACGCACGCCTGAAGAGACTCCATCCTATGGTAAAGAATTTGCATTGGCTGTCTCGCCAAGTTCGCCTGATCTTCTCACCTCTTCGGCACCAGACGAGTTTCAGCAACCTTTTGGTCCCCAGAAGACTCGGGAAGGCTCAAGATGACCTGAGAAAGCAGAAAGAGATGCCCAAAAGGGTCCCTAAGAGTGCCAAGAGGTCTACGGATTGCCCCAGAATGCTTCCAGTTCCACCCAAGGTGCCCCTGACAGGCCTCTGAGGCAAAACTGGATGCCTGCATGCATGCCTCCAAAATGCCCCGAGGTGGTTTCCAAGATGACCGAAATGAGATGCGGGCGATCTTCTACCACCCTCCCCCGCCCTCATTTCCCCTCCTCCTCCGTACTCATACCTCGTCCTCCTCCGTCTTCACTTTCCGCCGCGTGAGCCGCCGCCGACACAAAGACATCGGCAAGTCCCGCCGCCATGCAAATCCCGTCGCCATTAACGTGCTCACGGCACGCTTCGGGACCGCAATTAGTTACAGCGTCTCGCGACTCCAATTTTTCCTCCTCATCATCAAACCGTCATCACACCGTATCTCCACCTGATCCTGCCTTCTGACATGCCAGCCACCGACGTCGGCGACAAAATTGACAAAAAACGTCAGAACCTCTGGCCACGGCACACGCATCAGCGCCGCGGTTAGGGCAGCGTCTCGTGGCACTGGGCTCCAATTGCGACCCCCAAGGCCTGCGCGATAACGTACCCTGCCAAGCTGCCCGCGGCCAATCTGAACACGCGCATACCGCCAGAACGCGGCGGAGTGTGATTCACCCCCGATCTAAGTGACTCAATTTCCAAATTGAGCAGACTGATTTTTGGGATGCTCGCATCATTATACTGCTCCGCTCTAGCACTGGGCCGTTGATGGACCAGGACTCGCGAATGAAGAGCGCAAAAAGACCACGATGTGCTGGAAGGTAGCCGTGAAGGCAAAATGGATGCAACGAAAACAATGTAACCCTCGTGATTACTGTGGCAACTCGTATGCTGCAAGGCACCAGACGGACGATGTGGTAGGATGATCGATCCGCGTGGGCAAGCTAACGCATTTGGACCAATGATTGCCCTTTACTGGACTGTTTATGCCCCTCCTCCTGATCTTGTATTCCCCTTCCTCTATCTCCGAGAACCTGCTGACCGTGTACGGGTCCTTTCGGGCTTCGAAGACATAGCTGTGTATAGCGTCGTCGCCGCTGGCCTCGGCTGCAATCAGGCACTCTAGCCTCATCGAAGCAAGTAGAGCTGGGTGTGACAGATGGGAAATAGCGAAGGCCTCGAAACAACTAATCAATCACGCAACTGTAACTGGAAAACCAACTGCCGTTCAAGCTGTAGGCGAGAACCCCCCCCAAGAGCCGCAACCTCCTGACGCTCCAATGTGAGCTTATAATTAAGTGTTGTGCTGAGGGGGGAAGGCGGGCGGGAGGGCGGGACTGCGAATGCGGAGGGGAAATGATGGGGAAGGCAGGCACGCTGCTTGTGAATGGAAAGAATGTGCTCGAAACGTGAGGTTCATCCATAATGATACATCCACTAAATACTAAATCTCTGACCTGCAGATCCTGGGGTATCAGGGCTGGCGCAGGCCAGGCTTCTCTGTCCTCCCCGATCGACCTTCAGGCGAATATGCCGCCTGTCGTCTCATCTGTCATCTGCCCCGGGGACTGATGGAAGCAGATGTTCTCCGCTCGCTGAGCGGCGGCTTGTTGGACAGCAAATGTTGAGCAGGGACCGGCCGTCCCGGCATTCCGATAGGCCTATCACGACATGTTCTTGGAGCCCCAAGAACAAAGACCATGTTCTCAAAACAGAGATCCGGTGGGTCAGACGGTCTCAGCTAGAAAGGTTTTGAGAAGATGTCTCTTATCAGAACTTTCTTCGAGTAGGGGATTTCACCGTCAAACCAAAGAACAAATATTAATAATACACAACAAACTTATAATCCTGTGCAGATGTACGAAAACTCCACGTCTTGGTGTGCAGATTCGACGGACGAACCAACTCTGGGGCAATTCGATGCTGCAATCGATCCCCTCTACTCGAATTCCTTGGTGGGCCGAATAAATTTACCCCAGAATTGATTCTCTCGTCGAGCAATGCGTAGCATGTCACTAGATCTGCGAACATTCGACGCATGTCTCGTGGATTCGGCGAACAAACCAACTTCGGGGCAAATCAGCAGTTCTGTAACTAGTCGATCCCCTAATGACTCGAACTGGGGGCCGCGATGACAGGGGGGTATGTCGGTCCCGTCCCAGGCTTCGTGGGCCTCTCGAGTGGGCCTCTCGAGTGGCCTCTCGAGGGGCCCGACCCCCAGGATCTACGAGGGGGGGGGCGTCCATCCTCTATAAGGGGGTGCGTCCGAAAAGCCCCCTTGGGGTGTGGCCCAGGTCTTCGCCCTTTTTTCTCAGCGGCCAGAAACTTTTCGGGCGGAACTCAGGGATGGGGGGGAGAAAATGGCCTGCGACGCGACGCGCAACCCGAGCCCTGATCTGCACGCATCCGGAGACAGAGAAAAGGAACTCTGATGGAGCCCCTCTTCCTCTTTCGCGTGCCTCGTGCCCGCCCCCCCCTCTTCTCTCGTCCCCCACTCCCTGCCACTCCTCATCATCCTGAGCGCTAGCATCCGTCACTCCTGCTGCCCATTCCCCCTTCAGTTAGGCGGCGGGCGAGAAGGGGAAGTGAGCAGGGGCGGACCTTCTCAGAAGGCTCGGAAGTCCAACGGCCCTCGGAGGAGAAGTGTTCGAAGTCTTCCCCGAAGACGCACAGAAGCTTCTCAGATGGCGCGAGGTCGTCTGCGAAGTCCCGCCGCCGTCTGAGAAGGCCTTCTCCTGTTCACTTCCCCCCCCTCGCTCGCCGCCGATCAATCCATTCACAGTCCGCACGCGCGCCTATCTAATTCGCGCCCACACGCACGCGCACGACCAGACAAACTTCCCTGCCTCTCGCCTTCCCCCCCCTGGGCGAAACCAAACAGGTACCCGTACCGCTGCTCCTGGGACCTCTACCGGGATGCCTTCTGACCAGGATTTCGAGGCGACTCCAGCGGTGGCGACGAGGGCCCCCCCAGGAGGCCGAAAAGGGGGAGAACGGGGGAGGGGTAGCAAAATCGGAACCTTTCGTTCTCCTCTGACAGCTTCCCTCCTCACTCCTCCCAACCTCCCTCCCCATCCCGCCGCCCCCCTCCCCTTCCCCCGGCCTGCGAAATGGCCCTGCCTGCCCTCCCGCGATGCCAGCTCTGGCCCCGATGGAATCATTGACTGCACGATGGCGAGGAGAGGAAGAAGAAGAAGCAGAAGAAGAAGAAGAAGCCGACGAATAATAATATTAATAACAATAATAATATTAATAATAATAATAAAAATAAGTGAATAATAATAATATTAATAATAATAATAATAGTAATCATATTAATACTAATACTAATAATAACAATAATAATAATAAGAATAATAATAACAATCAGAAGAATAATAATAAGCAGAAGACGAAGAAGAAGAAGAAGAAGAAACGGCATAAACATCAACTTTTGGCGCTCCGCGCGGATTTCTTGGATCTGCGCTGGACCCCCCTCCCTGGCGCGCGGGGCGCGCCAGGGGCGGCGCCAGAGGCGCCGCCAGGGAGGCCCAGCGCGGATCCAAGAAATCCGCGCGGAACTTCTAAAGTTTATATGTAGGCCGTTCTTACTCTTCGACAACATCCAGGCGTCTGAGGCGCGCGACCGCCCCCTTCAGCTCTTCCTCGAAGAAGCGTCGCCGGGCTGCGTCGAGCTTCTGGGGCGACGCGCGCATGGCCGAGCGTGGAGATAGCGGCTTCACCTCGAAGGGGGCCGTGAAGCAAGCACGATTCGGCACGGGCTGGCGTAGATCCGTATGAGAATTCCAACTTGCTGAAATCGCTGAGAATGTTAGAATGTAACCGCTGGGAGGTCTTCGTCAGAAGGACTAGGGAGGAAAAGGCCCGTGGAGGGGCTGCCAGGCCTGATCAAACCGCGGATTTAGCGGGAAAGCGCGGGATTACGCTGGATTCAGCCGGCTTAAACGTCTTTAAGCCGGATTCAGCAGGATTGTGAGAAGTTCACATCCCAGGAATTGCATCCGAAGGACCGCAAAAGCAGCGGCCGAGATCGCACGGGACGATCCCTGAATCCTATCACGTTTGAGCCCTCCTCCTCCCGCGTCCCCTGGCATGACAACCGTCGCGTGCACAACTGACGGGTGCAAGAGTCGGGTCGGGCGAAAGGGGGGGGATAGCAAAGGGGGGGTTGAGAATCAGCTCACGTAGCTGATTTTCCCGGCGCCTCCCGGCGCCGGAGGTGACTACGTATCGAGGAATGGGCCCTTCGGTGGGGCCGACACCAGCTGCATGCAGCAGATTTCGTAACCCCCCGTTTCCCAATCCCCCCCTTCGTCCGGCCCGAAAGAGGCTTCGCGATCCGCGCGAGAAAGGGGCACCCGCAACACAATTGCTGAGCATGGCAGGGTGCTGAAAATTCGCCGGCCCAACGGGCCAGAGGCGTGCTAAGATCTCCGGTAACTGGTTAACAATAATTCTAGTTCGCGCGCGCGGGGCGGCCCCTGGGGCCCCCCCGGCAAAAAGTACCCCCGACCGAAGCCCGGGAACTATTACTCAGAGATGGTTTCCCTCCTGGGCGCGGCCTTCCACGCCCCCCGGAGCGTGCCAAGAGGGCCGAAAGAGGCCCCCAAGACGGTCCAAGAGGGCTCCGAATCACCGAACGATCGGCCCAAGACGCCCAACACGGCGTCCAGACGGCCCAAGAGGCCTCCAAGACGTCCCAAGAGAGCCCCGACCCTTCCCAAGAGAGCCCCAAGAGGCAAACATCAATGATTTTTCTTCGGTTTTTGAAGGTTTTTGGCCTCCTCGCCTTTTCGCCTTTCCAACGCTCCAAGACGGCCCAAGAGGCCCCTAAGACCACCCCAAGACGGCCCAAGAGGCCCCTAAGAGAGCCCCGAGACCGCCCAAGAGGGCCCCAACACAACCTAAAAGGCGCCCAAGGGGGCCCCAAGAGGGCCCCCTAAAAGGGGCCCAAGATGGAGACCACGAACCGAAAATCCAAGCCTTCCGCTCCAAGAGGCCTCCAGGACGCCCCAAGAGGCCCCCAAGAGGCCCCAAGAGGCGCCAAGAGGCCAGAAAGAGACCACAAAAGGCTCCAAAACGGAGCCCCAAGAGGCAAAACTCAGTGATGTCCATTAGGTTTCTGAAGGATTTTTGGCTTCCTCGCCCGTTCGCGTTTCCGACACTCCAAGACGGCCCAAGAGGCCCCCAAGAAGCCCCCAAGACCACCCCAAGACGGCCCAAGAGGCCCCCAAAAGAGCCCCCAAGAGAGCCCCAAGACCGCCCAAGAGAGCTTCAAGACAGCCCAAAAGGCGCCCAAGACGGCACAAGAGCCCCCCAAGAGGCCCAAGGGGGCCCCAAGACGCTCAAGGAGCCCCAAGAGACCCCCAAGAGGCCCCCAAGAGGCCCCTAGGAGGCCCCAAAGAGGCCCCCAAGAGGCTTCAAAGAGGCCCCATAGAGCGCTCGAGGGCCGGCGGAATGTGCGAAGCGATTAATAACCTGCCGGTCGGAAGAGAGGTGGGTGGGCACAGGAAGAGCAGGCAGGCGTGGAAGCAGATCGGGCTCCCGCCCGCCCCCCTGAAGGGGAGGGCAAGGGTCAGATCGCTCTTCTCCTCCTCCTCCTCCTCCTCCTCCTTCTCCTCCTCTCCTCCTCCTGCTTCTCCTCCTCCTCTCCTCCTCCTCCTCCTCCTCGAAGGAGGAGAAGGAGGAGTTGCATTGCATTGCCCCCCTCTCCTACTCTCCTCCTCCTCCTCCTCCTCCTCCTCCTCCTCCTCCTCCTCCTCCTCCTCGAAGGCGGCTGAAGTTCTGACCTCGGTCAATGCAGGCCCGGATCAGTCGGGCATTGCAAGATCCTGCAGGATCCTGCGCCCAGACCTGGGTCAGTGCAACCCTGTCCCTGCAGGATCCTGCAAGCAAACCGCGATCTGGCTGCCCCCCGTACATTGACCCCCGACTCTTGAGCCCCGGGGGGAGGAGGAGGAGGAGGAGGAGGGGGAGGAGGAGGAGGAGGAGGAGGAGGAGGAGGAGGAGGAGGAGGAGGAGGAGGAGGAGGAGGAGGAGGAGAGGAGGAGAGAGGAGAGGAGGAGGAGGAGGAGGAGGAGGAGGGAAGAGGAGGGAAGGGAGAAACGAGGAGGAGGCAGAAGAGGAGGGGGAGGGGGAGGGGAGGAGGAGGAGGAGGAGGAGGAGGAGGAGCCCCGAAGGAATGCACACTCTCGACGACCGGCCGGTGTCCCAGCGGCCTGGTGTGGCGGTGCGGGCGCGTAGCCGGTCCGGACCCTGCGGGCCAAGCGCCGGTCAAAAAAGTGTCCACACACCCATGGCGGTAAGGCGATGCGGCATGGTGCCAACCACAACTGACGAACGAACAACACGCACCCATACCCATAGGGAAGACGGAGAAGGCTATGGGTGCGTGTTGTCGGCTGGGGGTCCCCGCTCGAGCGGAAGCCTCCCCCCGCGGTCTGACAACCCGCACCCATGCCCAGAGCAAGTCCTCCTCCCGCCGACCCCCCAGTGGGTATGGGTGCGTGTCGTCCGTGCGTCAACAGCTGCGAAACGCCTTTGCTTCGCACTACTTCCCCACCCCCAAACCCGAAGCTGAAGCGTCTGCAACCTGTCACTGGCCTTTTGACCTGTGCTGGGGGCAGGGGGTATATATGTGTGTATATATATATATATATATATATGGGGGGGCAGGGGGTATATATAGGTATATATAGGTATATATACATATATATATATACATATCTATATATATGGGGGGCAGGGGGTATATATATATATATGTAGCTTTTGGTCTCGCCGTGTGGGCACTCTTAGCCCACCCACCGTCGCCCTCACCCCGGCACCTCGTCGAGCCGGGGCCGGCGCTCGCGCCCCCGAGCTCGGCGGGCCGGGCGCCGACGAGGCGTGCTTGAATGGGGAACTGGAGCACACAAAATAAATAGACACAAAATAACCAGATTCCCAAGGTTTTCCCATATCTTCTGGGTGTTTGTCTTCCCCCCACTTCCCATAGTTTCCCGTATTTTCTTGGGAGTCGACGATTCATTGTGTCTGTGTGTGTGTTTTTCCCTCCTGAGTGCTGGCCTCTGGGCGTGGCGTGTGCTCGGCATACGCTCGGCATGCGGCAGCCTCTCCCGTGCCCTCTGCACATGCGCGCGGCAGCTGCCTCCGGCCTGCAGAAGGCCCTCTCCCCGCGGGGAGGAGCAGTGCTGGGGCCACCCACAGCTCGGGTGCTGCTACAGTCGAGGCGTTGACCTAAGGAACCCTAAATAAGGAACGAGGCCCCTTTTCCCCATAAGTTCAACCTCGATTTCCGATGGAAAACCGCAGGAAACCCCGAGGCAAACTTTGAAACAATCAAGGAACTCCGAGCCCCTCCCCAACGAAAAGGGTTCCTTCTTCAGGGCCCCGACTCTAGGAGTGTCCCTGGCCAGAGGTGCCCTCAGCTGTTCGCTCCATGTTGGAGCCCCTGGGGGGCCCTCTGGGCCTTGTCAGTGGGGTGCTCTGGAGGCCGTCTGGGCTGGCCCGAGAGCCCCGAGGGCACCCTGGCCTGGAGGCACTTCTGGGACCGCCCGCAGCGCGGCCTGCGCCAGGACGGGAGGGCGCCGCGGCGCCGCAGCGCCCCGGAGGCGGTGCGCGCCTGAAGCCTGGCAGAGTCGTGCGGCACAAGCTTGAACGTGGCCCTGGCTCCCCCAGCATGATCGGGCGTTGGTAGAACTGGGTTTAGTGGAACCTGGTTTAGTGATCTGTACCGGGGGCGCCCCTCCGTCCCACTTCCACTCACCGGAACTGCCGTCACCCGAAGAAACACTAGCTATGGCAAACCTGGTTTAGCGAATCTGGCCAGTTGAGGGCCCCAGGGTCCTACCACTAACCAGCTCCCCTTACCCGGGGTCCTGGCCATACCCGACATGAGCGAGCTGCACTCGCGCGGCGCTGCCTGAGCACGACTCGGCCTGGCGCGCCGGTGCACGGCACTACGGGGGAGGCGCCAGCTGGCCGCAAGTCACGCCCGGACGTCGCACTGGATCGGCGGGCCTTGGAAGCAGCTCGGCCTTCCTCCTCCTGTTCTTGCTTCTCCACCTCCTCCTCCTCCTCCTCCTCCTCCTCCTCCTCCTCCTCCTCCTCCTCTCGTTCCTCCTCCTCCTCTCGTTCCTCCTCCTTCTCGTTCCTCCTCCTCCGCCTCGTCTTCCTCCTCCTCCTCCTGCTCTTGTTCCTCCTCTTCCTCGTTTTCCTCCCCGTCCCCTCCTCACCCTCGGTTCCTGCTAACTTCCTGCTCAGATCCCGCTCCTCTTCCCGGCCGCGGAGGCAGAGCGGGCAGAACAGAGAGAAGTCCCAGGCGGGAGGAGGATCAACGCAGGAGGTGGGGTGTGGACGAGGGGCGGAGAGGAAGGACAGAGAGCGGGAAAAGGTGAGGAAGCGGATGAGGAGGCAGGGAAGAGGAGGAGGGAGGGAACATGCAAAGGAATAAGACACCGTATAAAGGAGGGAGATGGAGAGAGAGGCGCAAGGGGGAGAGAGGGGACGGGGGGGGAACGCAACGAACCAGTGGAACAGCCCAGGACGCATGAAAGGCCTCACGCATATGTTGTTTGGTCAACGCAATGCTGGGAGGGGAAGGGAGAGGAGCAAAGGTATCAAAGAGTTTACCTCCCCCTTGGTGGAGGACTGTGGACGAGTCGCCGTTCGGTGCACCAGCTGCTTGAGGCACCCCACGCACAGCACGCCCTGCCCGCGGGGCACCACGCAGGCCGCCTGTAGCGCGGAGGGGAGTGGGGCGCGGAGGGGGGAGGGGGGGGGGAGCAGGAGGAAAAACGGCGGCGGCTGCGGATGACAGCATCAAGGAGAGGGGATGCAGGGGAGGCGAGATGAGGGATGGCGGGCCAGGGAGGGGAGAGGGAGGGGCCAGGGGGGGCGAGGTATAGAGGGGAGGAAGGGGGGAGGCGCGAGAGATGCGCCATCACTGCTGGAAGTTTGACGCATGGCAGCACAATGCGCTGGCGCAACGGTAGTGAGAACGGAGACGTGCTAGCGCGACCCCGAGGCAAGCATGGCCCGCGCAAGGTTCGCGTCCACCCGCATGGCACCAGCTCGCACGGGGCTCGGAAACATGTGCCGCTTGCTTGTCCGAGGTGTCGGTGCCCCTCCACCCGAGGAGTCACCCTCATGCCGATCGCCCCCGAAGCGGTCTGCGCGGGCTCAGTCGAGTACGCCTGCGCGTGCAGTCGGGGCGTTGACCTAAGGAACCCCAAATAAGGAACGGGGCCCCTTTCTCCCATAAGTTGAACTTCGATTCCCATAGAACACCTCAGGAAAACAGAAGGCAAACTGTAGAACAATCAAGGAACACCGAGCCCCTCCCCAACGAAAAGGGTTCCTTCTGCAGGGCCCGGGCTGTACCCTCCTACTGCCACTGGCATCCCTCCTCCCATTGGTGCGCGAGCCAATTTTGCTCCGGCGGAGGGGGCGAGGCCACAGCCAGAGACGGCGCCACTTCCCTGCGCAGCATGGAGGCGAGAGGATACATTCATCAGCCTGACCTAAGGAACGATAAAGGAACGAAGCCCCTTGTTTATCCCAGGGAATAACGCATAAGGAACGAGAAATAACAAATAACGCATAAGGAACTGTAAATAACGCATGCAAGCCTAAGGAACGACCGAGCCCGTTTTGAAAAGTAAATGTTTCTTATTCAAGCCGCTCACTGTAGGGGAAACGCGAGGGGAATGAAGCACAGGCAACAGGAAACGTGAAGCGCTTCGGGTGATCCGCCGTTCCTCGAACGATCCTTCTGTCGGCGATCGCGAGCGCTCTCACCCCCCAAGCTCCTCTGCGACCCCTTGCAACATTCAGTGGTGCTGGGCGCGGGCAGCCACGACCCCTCGCGTAACATGCCCCTGGCACCGTCCTATCCTGAGATATTGCGAGGCGAAACGGAAATCCATTGGTGACACCACCGCCTGGCCTCGTACTGCAGTTCCAGGCACGGTGCATCTTGACATATGCTGGCCGTGGGGGACCAACTATACCCATATCCACCACCTGCCAAAGTCCCCAAAGCTCGATCGCCCAGGCGGTGACTTTAGACGAAAAGAAAGCCACATAAACATAAACTTGTTGCGCTCCGCGCGGATTTCTTGCATTCGCACTGGGCCACCCTCCCTGGCGCGCGGAACGCGCGCCAGGGGTGGCGCCGGAGCCGCCGCCGGGGGGCCCAAGCGCGGATCCAAGAAATCCGCGCGGAGCGCCAAAAGTTTATCTTTATTTTGTTGTTCTTCTTCGAGGCTTGTGGAAAAGCCCCCGCGTCGGAGAAGTGTCACTCTGAAGAGCCACACAGGCAAGCAATCAGCAGGGTGCCCCGCGGCAGGAGGCGACGCCTTCTGCAGATTCGGGCGCCAGGGATGAAAAGGCGAACGAGGACAAGACAGGAAGGATGAGCATCCTGGACGGAAGGGTAAGGAAACAAGGAGAGGAAGCAAGTTGGAGAATGGAGCAGTGAGACGGAGCGCGCATCACTGCCGTCTGGCAGCGGAGCAGGCCACGGGGCCCGTCCAGAACCAGCCCCCCCCCCCCCCCCCTCCAAAAGAAAACCAGGACCCTGAATTCGAAACTGGGCGGACCCCTCCCTCCCCCTCCCCCCACCTCACCATCCTATCCCCCACCCCCTGAGAAAGGAAAGCGGGGGGTAGAAACCACGAGAATCCCCAGCCCATTGGTGCAAAGGGGGTGGGGGATCCCCCCTCCACGCCAGCAAACGACTACGCTGGCGACGACACCTACAGCCACGACAACGACGGCGGCGACTGCGACGGTTGACGGAGATGAGTGCGACAACCGACGGCGACCGACGACGAGAGCGACAACAACGACGACGACAACTGTGACGACTACGACAACTGCGACGACGACTGCAACAACGACAACAACGCAAACCGACGCCAATCGTGATACGGACGAACGAGAAGGACGACGTCACGACGGCAGCGCGGGCGGGACAATACAACCGTCATTCGAGCGAGCGGTGAGACCGTAACGGGTGTGCTGGGTGGGCGGACCTCAACGGGCGGGTTGGGCGGGAGGATCCTGAAGGACGGGCCAATCGGGCGGGGTGGGCTGATGGGCCCTGTTTTCCACCAACCCTGCCGCAAGTAGGAGCCTCCTCCTCCTCCTCGTCCTCGTCCTTCTCCTCCTCCTCCTCCTCCTCTCTTGGTCCTCTTCGTCCTCCTCCTCCTGCTCTTCGTCCTCCTCCTCGCCCTCAGCCTCAACGTCCTCCTGATCCTCTTCCTCCTCCTCCTCCTCCTCCTCTTCGTCGTCCTCCTCCTCCTCGACCTCCTTCCCCCCTCCACCTTGTGGTGGTGGTGGTGGTGGAAAACACAGGCCCATCGTGGGCGGGCGGACTTCTGCACGCAGCACGGCGGCGAGCGGGCCGACACGCCAAACCCGCGCGCTAAAGGTCGGGGCATTGGCTCGGCGGGCGGACCGTCGCGGGTTTCGTTCCGCGGCGTCTTTTCAGATGCCTCCCAGCTGGGGTCCGAGCAGACGGGGTCAAAGGATCGAAGGATCGAAGGGGCCTCCCAGATGGGGCCTCCCAGATGGGGTCCGAGTGGACGGGGTCCGAGTGGATGGGGTCCGAGCAGACGGGGTCGAAGGATCGCGCCGCATGGGCGACACGTCGGCGATGCATCGGCGATGCATCGGCGCGGGGAAACACGGGCTCCACGTCGAGCCGCATCGCCGATGCATCGGCGATGCGGCGCGATCCTCCGACCCCATCTACTTGGACCCCATCTAGGAGGCCTAGAGTCTTGGAGGAGAGGGAGGCAGGCAGAGAAATGAAGGGGGGCGAGAAGGGCGAAGCGGAGGAACAAGCATAGGGAAAATCAGGGAGGGAGGAGAGCAGGGGAATGGCGGGAGGGAGGACATCATAGGAAAGGAAGGGAACCGAGCGGAGGTAGAGCAGAGGGAAATCAAGGAGCCGAGGGAAAGCATCGTGGTTGCCCAAAGCGGCAGTCCTTCAGATCGGCTGCTCAAACTCGGGCCAATGCCAGGCCCATGTCAACGTGAACAAAAAGCAACGGCCACAAAAGGGTACATCCCCCTTCCGGTCCCACTGACCACTCATATTCGGCGGTGGGCAAACCTCCCTTTAGTAAACCTCCCCTTAATGAAGACGGCCTGGGGCCGAAACCGACGCACCTGGACGCAAAAATGACGGCCGCGACGCCCTCTCGCGAACCGAAAACGGCCAATTCCTCAATCGACGTGTCAGGGTAGAAGGTCTGTCCAGCCCCGACATATACTTGGGCATCACACGACAGCAACCAACGAGCAGCCGCAGAGTGCGCCACAAGCAAGAGTGATGTAATCTTGGCTCCCTATCACATCATACTAAAGTGTGTCCGAGCTCATGGGAATCGCCTAGGCAAACATTTGCAATCCACTGACAACTCAAATCGTGTGTAATTGACGGGCGGGACCCTACATGTCGGGCGGGTTGGGTGGGACATCAAAGCTGGCGGGCGGGATTGTATGCAATGCAAGCGACCAAGCGGATCCTAACCTGCGGGTCGGGCATCGGAACCCGACGGGCTGTCCAGGCGGGCGGAAGATGACAGATGAAGCCGGGTTTTCATGGAAACGATCGGGCCGGGTGGTCGGGACACACAACTGGACAAGCGTGCGTTCGTGCAGGCGAGTGGCTGGACCTTCACAGATAGGTCGGACTCACGGTCGCCGTCGTCGCTGATGGTTGTCGTCGCCGTCGGTCGCTCGATCGTCCGTCGCTGACTGTTCATAACCCCCCTTCGCCCAACCTGCACCCGTGGGGGGCCGGGTTCCAGCCCTCCTGTGCGCGAGCCTGGTAGTGGGGCGGCGGGAGGGGGGTCTGCCAAGCGGCCGCGAACAGCACTCCTTCGAACAAGGATACCGCTCCGACGGGAGGGAGGAGGAGGAAGGAGAAAGAGGAGGAGGAGGACGAGGAGAAGGAGGAGGAGGAGGAGGAGGAGAAGGATGAGCAGGAGGAGGAGGAGGAGGAGGAGGAGGAGAAGGAGGAGGAGGAGGGGAGAAGGAGGGGAGGGAGGGAGGAGGAGGAGGGAGGAGGAGGAGGAGGAGGAGGAGGAGGAGGAGGAGGAGGAGGAGGAGGGGAGGAGGGAGGAGGAGGAGGAGGAGGAGGAGCATGAGGAGGAAGAGCAGGAGGAGGAGGAGAAGGAGAGGAGGGGAGGAGGAGGGGAGGGAGGAGGAGGAGGAGGAGGAGGAGGAGGAGGAGGAGGAGGAGGAGGAGGAGGAGGAGGAGGAGGAGGAGGAGGAGGAGGAGGAGGAGGAGGGGAGGGAGGAGGAGGAGCAGGACGAGGAGGATCGCTGAGGCCCGGCGCCTCCTCCTCCTCGCTGCCCCTGCGCCTACCGCCCCTCCCCCCGTCTCGCTCCCCCTTTTCGGCTCCCTCCTCCCCCCAAGGGTCTTCCGTCGTCTCTGCCCCCTCCATTTCCGGCCGCCTCCTCCCTCACTCGCCGCCTCTCCTCCTCGGACGCCCGAGTCGTCCGGGAGAGCTGCTGTCCGGGGTGATTCCAGCTTGGGCCACCGAGGCGCGAATCTGCAGTTACCCCTGACCGCCCTTAGCCCTGATGGTTCGGGAATTTACCAGCCTGGAACATATCCCTATCCCTATGTTCGGCATCGCCGCATCACGATGGCGATCTTAGGGATTCCCTCAGTTTCTGAGGGTGCATCCCTAAGATTGTCATCGCCTTTTGGTGTGTCAATCTCAGGGATAAGGATAATTTCGAGGCTGGTGAGGAATGTTGGATGCCCGAGCTTTCCGGGATAACCGCGGTCCAGGGTAGCTCCGATTCGGGCCCCCGTGGTGCGAACCTGCAGCCACCCCCGGCCGCCCCCAAGCCCCGCTGCTTCCCGGAGGGGGTCGGAGGAGGGGGAGGAGGTGGAGGAGGGGGAGGAGGAGGAGAAGGAGGAGGACGAGGAGGAGGAGGAACAGGAGGAGCAGGAGGAGCAGGAGCAGGAGGATGAGGAGGAGGAGGAGGAGGAGGAAGAGGAGGAGGAGGAGGAGGAGGAGGAGGAGGAGAGGAGGAGGAGGAGGAAGGGGCTGGGGACCGCGCCTCGTCGATCTGTGGCCCGCCGCCGCTGCCCCCGCCGTCGCCGCCCATCGACTCCGCGAGGAGCAGCTTGCCCTCCAGCACCTGGCAGCGCGCCGCCCCCTCCGGCCGCCGCGCCACCGGCCCTCCCTGTGGCCAGGCCTCCTCCTCGTCCTCCTCCTCCTCCTCCTCCATCTCCATCTCCTCCTCCTCCTCCTCCTCCTCCTCCTCCTCCTCCTCCTCCTCCCCCTCCCCCTCCTCCCCCCTTTCGCGTCGTCGGGATCCGGCGCCTCCCCAGCTCGTGCGAAGTATCGCGCACCGTGTCCGGCCACAATCTTTCCATTCAATCCGTTCGCTCAATACGTAGCGCCGTGTGCCGTCCTGAAGCATTGCCCACCTGACTGTATCCAATCACTGAAACGCACGCGCAGGAACATGCTCGCACGACATACCTGCTCACGGTCCCAGCCGCGCGACTGCAAACCACCCGAACGCAGCCTGACGCGGCAATCAAAACGCAATAGGCTGAGCGTTGCAAGATACACCCATGAAATATCAGGCATCAGACCCACTCCATGAATGTGCGGATTGGCGACGGTACCACTGCTCGTGGTAAAACGCACCTGCCATTTCTCATTCGTCGACCCCCTCCCTCTTCCGTGAGTATGCATCTCTCCTCCTTCCCTCAAACTCATCAATTCTGCCCCCTTATTCTTCCCCCGTGACCCACGCGCCATGGCCAGTCCGGTTCCCTGCCCAAGCGCCGTCCCTGTGGAGCCTTCCATGCTGGGTGCGAAGCTTCACACTTCTGTTCAGCGCCAGTTCAATGCCGTTGAATTGAGCTTTTCGACCGAGCATAGCGCCCACGCTCATGCCGACGTCCCACCACCACCTTGCCAATTCCTCCACGTGCACCTTCCCGTCCATGTCCTCATCTGTTGTTCTTTTCTGTTGCCCTCACCCGAACTCCTCATCCCTCCAGCCCTCTCCCCCCCCACACCTCTCTCCATTCTTCCCTTTCTCTGCACCGTGCCTCCTCATCCCCGCCCCCCGCCTTCTACAACCTCCTCCTCCTCCTCCCGCGTACCCACCAGCCTTGATCTCGCACTCGAACTCGTCTTTTTCCTCGTCCCACTTGGCCTCGCGCAGGCCAAGCAACGGCAGAGCCGGCGTACATCAGGTCACGGCGGTGACGGGAGCACGCGCGGGATCGCGCTAGAGCGCTGGCCGCACAACTGCACGCCCCTGTCCACCTCCTGGTGCTGCTCCTCCTCTTTCTGTGCTCGTGTCCCCCACGTGCTCTCGTAAGTCAAGATCACACTGCCCGCGTCTCTTTTCCGCCTTCATGCTCCAACTCTTCATCTTCCCCTTTCGTCCTCCTCCTCCCCCCCCTCCTCCTCCTCCTCCTTTTCCTCCTCCTCCTCTTCCTCCTGGCCCGTAGCATGGAAGGAGTCGTGCAGCTGGTCCACTTCGCACTAGACGTTGGAAGGCATCCCGCGCCTGGGGCATTAGTTCCTGAATTTGCCTCTCAGCGAAGGGCTGTCCTGGCCTCGCGCGAGACTATGGGGTTGCGTGATTGTAGAATAGAAGAACAACAACTGAGAAATGTAAGCTCTGAGCTGTGACAGGCTGGTCAAGCAGGCCTAGGATATAGGTGAAGAGTCAACCCGGATGTTGAGAAGACAGGCGCAGAGCCTTATAACAATAGGACAGACAAGGTAGTGAGAGATGGTATCACGGAAGTTGGGAGAGGCACAGATGAAACAGCGGGCACATTGACCCTGGAAACGCGCCTGCGTAGCCCAGCCTCCCGCGAGGGTCTTGATGCATGCCAATGTATGGGCAGGGGCTAACTTCGCGCGCGCCGATTGCACCTGCGAGCAATCAACACCGAGGAATTCTCTGCGGAGCTCAGGGAACCAGCAGAGAAGGCGGGAAGAAAACATGATACCGAAATCCGTGGGAGCAAGGGCACGATTGAGCGTGGCCACCAGTTCTCGTTGGATCTTGGGACGAGGGGAAGGAAGAGGCATCGTTATCATAGCGGAAAGAGATGGCTGGATGTCCTGGAGAGCCTGGGTCGCTGCTCTCCGCACTCGCTTGTCCAATGGAAAACCAGAGGCAGCCTCCGCAAATCTCTCAACTGCGCTGGACTCGCACCAGAAAAAGTGGGGGGAATCTCGGAAGACGAGAGCGAGGGGGCGGTGCTCGATCGCAGCTTCGTTGAGTTCTTCTTGCCATGGACGCCAGCCTTTGAAGGTTACGAGGGCTGCGCGCATGAGCGAAGCCATCGCCGTGGTTTCTATATTGGGTAGATGTGGCCCACCCCATTCACGCGGACTTCACATCTCGTTTCTTGGGAAGGCACAGCGAGGGGTCCTCTACACTCGGGCAAGGAGGGCATGTTCTTTTATTCTCATGGCAGGCGACACCAGCGCTTGCGAATTTGGGCAGCATACGAGAGAACAGGCACATCGCGCTTGGCGTACATTGCTGCGTTCACCGCGACAGGAGCGGAAGCTGAGCCGATCTGCATCGCTCTACGTACGTTTTTCGCAAGCGGACCTGCTGACTGCAGGGCCCAGGCGGAGACCCAAGTACCAGAGGGCTTCAACCACCTGAAATGCTGACCGCGCCAGCACATCCTGGCGGAGCCATGATCTGCATCGTTCGGCAAGGCCGTCGCTGTATGCACCGGCGAGCGGCACCAGAAAACACATGGCAGGCTCGAGGAACAGCGCAGCGAACTGCTCCGCTGCCTGAAACATATCTAAAAAAACGACAGGAAGCGCAGACAATTTTCATATCACAGCACCGAGGTCATCCGCGCATGCTCGGGCCATCCCGAGTTGCGGCTGCTCGAGTCGCCGCCTGAGAAGCGCCAAGAATGGATGCGAAACTATCGCATGCAGTGTGCCAGAAGCCGGGCAGCCCTGCACGATGCCCGACTGAATATAGAAAAGGCGACCAATCTCGCCCTGGGCCTGGCCAACGCAATTGATGTTTGAGTAGAGGGGGGGAGGGGGGGCAAGGGGGGGGGCGGGAGATTGAGACGGCCGAGAACAAGGGAAATACACCGGTGAGCAACAGAGGGAAAGGCGTGGCCACAGTCTTAGCTGAGGAGGGCGGGGGGGGGGCGAGGGGCTGACTGAGGCGTGGACGCGACGCGGGCCTTGGCGCCAAGCTCGAGAACGTTGGGCCCGCGGTTTCTCGAGGTGGCGAACCCTCTCTGCGACGGGCCCATGAACGACGGAAGCGCCTTAGATAACTCCCTGAAGCAAACGGTGGCCATCGGGTTGCAGTCGTTGCTTTTGAGGCCGAGAGGTCAAGTCTGGAGCGGGTTTCCGTTGATTTGGGCGTCATCCTCTGGAGCATCGCCTTTTGGAGCAACAACTCCACGCGCAATGCCGAAGTCTGGGCGCATGCCGTGGCCCTCCAGGCACCGCCAAATCGAGCGCGCGAGAACGTCCTTACCTGTAGGATGCGCGGCCCACGCTGAGCATGGTAGCCCGTCCTGGCCAGGTTCGCTATGATTTGCTCGCTCATGACATTTCTGTACGTCCAATTCCGCCAAGGAGGGGATGTTGCCGAGGTTCGCCGGAGGGGCAACTCGGTCCAAGTGAGTGTTCGCGGTGACCGCGTCGATGGGTTTCTCTGCAATTAGAAGGGGCGCAGCCGTTTCTAAGGGCACGAAGCTTCATCCGGGGGCCTTCGATGATACAACCATTATGCTTCACACCTTGGGGGGCCATGCATCTGTCACATGGGCTCCAGGGTTTTGCTATTCTTTGTAGACCACGTATTCTACGCCACTGGCGGGCACGGGCAGCGGGGGGCGCAGCAGGGTCGTCCTCTTGACGGACAGCTGCTAGAGCGCGGTGAGAGGCAGCCATCTGGGCCTGGTTGGTTGCCAGGACGAAAGCCTCGGGGTCCTTGAGGTTTGCAGTGGCTTGCAGCACATCCACGCCCTGGCAGGTTTCGGCCAGGGGTCTGGGTCCTGAGAGGTCGGAGAGCAAGTTTCATAGCCTGATGCCAGAGCGCCCTGGACAGAGATTTTAGAACAATAAGGATGGCCAGGGGGGAGTGAGGACGACGTTTGATAACGCGATCTCGAGCGCGTTGTGCTGCAGCCCTCAGCTTCTTCTTGTGAAGCTCGAGAAGATGCGGCGGTGAGAGCCCAGACGTATCAGCAGCTCTCGAAGCTCCCTGGAGAAACATCGCATATTCAGGTTGCTGAAAAATCTCCCTCGGAATGTTCTGCTTCTCTGGGCCCACGGGATCCTTCAAATTGAACGAGACCGAGACCGCCGCATGGTCGGATAGCCTCTTCTGATCTCAGATCTCGGGCATGCCGTGCGCGAGCGCAGTGGCGTGGAGCTGGGTAAAGGTCCACCCATGTACAGACACTAGGACTCTGTCTATGGAACTCGGCGTGTTGTTCGCTATGTTGTAATGAATCTCTGTCATCCACCTCTTCCTCCTTAAACCACCTGAAATTCGATTCCGCGCAGAGTCCCTCGGGACAGGAACCTGGGCGACTTGGCCGTGCCGGGCACAGACAGGAGCGAGAGAGCGAGGAGGCCCCACAGGAACATTGAAGTCACCCAGCAGAAAGACCATGGACTCGAGGGGGCGCCTGGAGGCCTCCAAAACGTCGTTCTTCAAAACCTCTTCAAGTTGCTTTCGGGTGTTCGCGTTGATGTCATGACTGTGAATCGTATAGTGGATGATCGAGATGCCAGACCTGAAACGCATGGCCACACGCAGGGCCCTCCCAGGGATCAACAACTGCGCGGAGACCTCAGGCGGGGAACGAAGGTGAGAGAGACCGAAGTCGGGCACGAAGGTGATCACGCCACCGGTGTGCTGCTGGTCGTCGGCAAAGGAGGAGTAGGCGACAAACGGCGTATGCACGTGATTAAAAAAATCGTCCACCGCAGCTCGCGTGCCATGATACTCTTGCATCGCAACTAAAGCCCCTTGCTTCAAAAATGGACAAACATTTTATAGTTTGCGGGCACGCGCCCCAAGACTGTGGTGAAACAGAGCACGAGCATTCCAAGTCGATGTCGAGAGCGGAGTGGGGCATGGCATGGGGCACACCTTTGCCATTCCTTGAGGATCGGGTCAAAGGCACCACACCACATTCTCCTGCTGCGGGGCTGAGACGAAGGATATCGCATTCTTGATCGCCGCCAGGTCGAAACCCAGCGTGTTAATGTTGTTAGCGCAAAACTCCATGGCCGGGGCCGACGTCGCACTCGGGATCGTGATACGAATGAGTCGTTTCCACTGGCATGCGATGGTACCCTGCTGCCGGTCCGTGAAGAACTTCGCCGAGGGATACAATTGATGAAGAGCCTGCCGCACTTGCTTGCAGGTGATCTCGGTGCGGACCATCGCGTGCGACTTGTCCGCCGAGAGGAAGATGTCTGTCGGGCAGCCCTGCGTGTCCACAGTCGCGAACTTCTGCCATGATCCGTCGGGCTGCTTGAGCGCTCCAAGGGCCTGCGCCACACGCCTAGCAGCCAGGGTCGCAATGCCCTTGATGCGGAGCATGCATCGCTTGTCCACGGGGTCGCTCTCGGTAGTGAACTGGTCCTCCTCCTCCTCCTCCTCATCCTCCTCCTCCTCCCTCTCCTCCTCCCCCCCTCCTCCGCCTGCCCCCTCATCCTTCTCATACCTTCCTCCTTCCTCTTCCAACTTCTACATCTTCCCCTTTTCCTCCTCCTCCTCCTCCTCCTCCTCCTCCTCCTCCTCCTCCTCCTCCTCCTCCCCCCACTCCTCCTCCCCTTCCCCCCTCAACTCGCCCTGCTGCTGCCGCTCACTTCATCCACCTCCCTCGACATTAGTTGCGTCCTCCTCCTCGACATTCTCGCTATCCGCGTCCTCCTTGTCAGAAAAAAAAGCGGACTCCCCGCATCCTTTGTCCTTCCGTCTCTGTGTGTCTCCAGCCGTTGTTCGCCATGCGACCCCGCAGACCCCGTCGGGCAATGACCAAACTCACGACGGTAGGTGTTTTGCGTACGGCAAACTCGTGTCGTGTCAACCCGGGCGATGGTTCCTGATACCGCGGGGATTGCTCAACCTTGAACGATCGGCCGTTTCCGCGACCTCCGAGCGTTCAACATCGACCGATTCTGGGCCGCCGCTGGCGTTTAACGTTGAACGCCGTCGGCGGGGTCCCCGCCGGTCGACACGACACGAACCTACCGTATCTTCGGCCTCTACGGGCCCTTTACCTGGCCCCGGGACAGTCAAAGAAACGCCTCGGGAGGAACCACCGGCCCACGGGGATGCGAAGACCCGGTGAGGATGTCGACGCTACGAAGAATCATGGCGTCGGGGGTCTGGGCTTTGCTCCTCTGCCCACGACCTGCGCATGCCGCAACTGCTCCTCCTCGCGCCCGCATCGTCGTCCCCCCGTTCGCGCTTCGCCCGATCGTGTTCCAGCCCTCGTCCCGCTCCACGCCCGCGGTACCCTCCCCTGCTCACCCGCCCTCGTCCCGCCGTTCTGCCCGCCCCCCCCTCAAGCTTCCACGTTCGTCCCTGCCCCCCTCCCACGCCTCCTGCCGTCTTCCCCCTCCCGCATTCCGCGTTCCCCGCCTTCCCATCCCCCTTCGCCGCCGTTGAGTGGCATCCCGTCTTCCGCACTCCTTCCCTGCTTCTTGCATGTACCCCTCCACGCTGCACCACCGAACCCAACGGTCCAATGTCTGGTCGCTTCGCCTGTCACTTTTGGCCCGTGCCGTATCCTAAAGGATATAAAGCCCAAACACTTGCGCGGGCTGGCGATTCGAACGATGTGGCTGTCGCCTGACACCTCTTCGAACGATCTGATTATACAGTTGGGAGATGTTCACAGTTTCGCGGATGCAGGATGAGCGAGTCTCAAAAAATCATGGCCCGTCTCAAATGTCATGGCCCTGTAGCTTAGGACCTCAAACAGTTACAGGGACGGACGGAGAGTGATGTTCTGGCTCTCCCACGCGAATTTCTCTCAGAACCAGCTGGGCACTCAGTGTGCAGGCCCATGGAAGCGTCGCCTATAGATCACGCGCTCGCAGTAGAGACATACGTACACGCATCGACTCATGAGGACGGGCACGGAGCGGGATGGTAGATTGCAAACTCGGTGATGATGGCTGGGCCTGGCCCACCTCATGATCATGTCTACTCATCATCATCCTGCTCCTCCTCTTCCTGATCCGCCCTGGCACATTATGACAATCCTCCTGCACCGACAGCTCACTGGCATGCCGTTTCTTCTTTTGCTGCTCCCCTCCTGCAACTGTTTCTAACAAGATCCGCCTACCAAAATTGATCCAAAGTCCCCACCCGTCGTCCCGCGCTCCTCTTGCTTCTCCCTCTCACCGTTCATCCTACGCCAGCCCCATCCGCCCTCTGCATGATTACTTCGCCATCGACCTTCGGGCGGGTGGCAACGGGGGGTGACCCACAGGAGGAGTGAAGGATCGGGGATGGACAGACCCCCCTTTAGTAAAACCTGGTTTAGTGAAAACGACCTGAGGCCCAAACCTGGCGGGCGCAAGCCTGGAAAATGACGGCCGCGGCGCCCTCTCGAGAACCGAAGACGGACAATTCACTAATCGACGCGTCACTGTTGGGGGTCCTGTCCGCCCCCGAAAGAAGGTGGCCCTAAAGTGGCCATTCGGGGCCTCTGTTGGGCCCCTGCTGGCTCCAGACGGGGCACGAAGGGGCCCTTCAGGGCCCTTTTCTTCACCCCCGAGTGGGGTCAGCCCCCATTGCCGTCCGCCCGACCTCAGCCATCCCCCCCTGCGCCATGCGTGATTACTTCGCCATCGACCTGTCGACCTCGGTCATCCGGCTCCACTTGCTCCTCCTGCTCCCTCCTCGTGCTCCCCCTCAATGCGCCCAGGCCTGTCCCAGCGCTTGCCCGTGCTGCCCGCTGCAGATCGTCATGCTCATGATCCTGCTCCACTTCTGCACCCGAATCCGCCGCTGCTGGCCATGCCCCCTCTGTCACCTACTCCCGCTGGTGTTCCTGCGGATGCTGGTACATAGATTCCTCTTACTTCTCCTCCTTTTCCTCCTCCTGTCTCTTCTGTGACCTTCGGGGGCGTTGCTAGAAGAGCCCATGGCCAAAGGTGCCGCCAGCTTTTGGTTGAATTTTGGAACCGCTGAGGCCATTGGACCTCGTGAGGGGTGCTCTGGAGGCCATGGGGGCGTCCTTGGTTGGGACTTCTTGGGACACATTGGGCCAGGGACACCCGAGACCTCCCCGTCCCCGCCCCCCTCCCCTGCTCCGAACTGGCGTTAAAACCATGGCCCTCGCGCAGATCCCCACCCCTGCAGCTGCGAAAAAAAGGCCTGGGCGTCCACAAGGTTCTGCTCGGCCTCGCGAGGAGAAGGGCGCGCCGGACGCGGCGCGATCGATTCCCCCCCCCCCTCTCCTCTCTATATCTGCTTACTGCCCAGACAACAGGCGGAGGACAGCGGAGGGAGAACCCCCCACGTCCCCGTTGCTCCTCTCTTCCGCCTCGAGCGCCCCTACCACTCAGCCTTCCCCCCCCCCTCTCCTCTCTATAGCTGCTTCCATCCCGGACCCCAGGCGGAGCACAGCGGAGGGAGCGCCCCCCCACGTCCCCGTTGCTCCTCTCTGCCGCCTCAAACGCTGCTTCCCCCTCTCCCCACTCCTCAGCTCTCCCCCCCCACACTCCTGTCTATAGCTGCTTCCCGCCCGGACCCCAGGCGGAGCACAGCGGAGGGAGCACCCTCCCACGTCCCCGTTGCTCCGCTCTTCCGCCTCAAGCGTTGCTTCCCCCCCCGTGCCCCCCTACCCCTCAGCCCTCCCCAACCCCCTATCAGCCCCCTCCCACCCCCCCGCCCTCATCTCTATATCTGCTTCCCGCCCAGACCCCCCAGGAGGAAGCACAGCGGAGGGGAAGGCCCACCCCCCCCACGGTCTCCCCGTTTCTCCTCTCTTCCGCCTGAAGCGCTGCTTCCCCCTCCCGGCCCCCATCCCTCAGCCTTTTCCCCCCCCCCCCCTCCTTACTCTCTATATCTGCTTCAGTCCTGGACCCTAGGCGGAGCACAGCGGAAGGAGCCCCGCCCACGTCCCCGGTGCTCCTCTCTTCCGCCTCAAACGCTGCTTCCCCCTCCCCCTACCCCTCAGCTCTCCCCCACCCTCTCCTCTCTATAGCTGCTTCCATCCAGGACCCCAGGCGGAGCACAGCGGAGGGAGGCCCCCCCCACGTCCCCCGCGTGGCTCCTCTCTTCCGCCTCAAGCGCTGCTCCCCCCCCGGCCCCCTAACCCCTCAGCCCTCCCCCCCCCCCCCCCCCCCCCCCCCCTCCGCTCTATATATCATCTGCTTCCTTCCCTCCTGGACCCTAGGCGGAGCACAGCGGAGGGACGCCCCCCCCACGTCCCCGTTGCTCCTCTCGTCCGCTTCAAGCGCTGTTTCTGGGGAAACCAGAAGGTACCGATACCGCTACTCCCCGGACCTCTCCCAGGGTGCGTTCTGACCCGGATCTCGACGCGAATCCCGCGGTGGGGACGAGGGCCTCCGCGGAGGCCCCAAAAGAGAGGAACACGGGCGGAGGGGTAGAGGTATGGGCACCCTTTCCTCCTCTGAGCTCCCTCCTCCCCCTGCCCCCTCGGCCCTCCCCCCACCCCATCTGCGCCTGCCCCCCCCTACCCTCCTCCCCCTCCCCCCCCCCCTCCCCCTCCCCCTCCCCCTCCCCCTCCCCCTCCCCCTCCCCCTCCCCCCTCCCCCTCACCCTCCCCCTCCCCTTCCTCCTCCTCCTCCCTCCCCTCCTCTCCTCCTCCTCCTCCCTTCCTTTTTCCTCCTCCCTCTCCTCCTCCCCTCTTCCTCTCCCCTCCCTGCACCTACCCCTCGCCCTTTCCCCCCCTCCCTTCTGCGCCTTTGTTTGTTTTCTTGCCTTCGCCCTTGGCCCCCGGCGGAGGCCGGGCTGGACAACGGAGGGCTCCACGCCCACGCCCGTCCCGATGCTCCTTCTGCCTCGAGCGCTGCCCTCCCCCCTCGCCCGCCACGTTGGCCCACTGCCCCCCCCTTCCGCTCCCCTCGTCCACAGTCGATCATTCTCCTTCTCCTCGATCCTCCTTGATCCTCGATCCTCCTCCTCCTCGATCCTCCTCGATCCTCCTTGATCCTGGGATCCTCCCTGATCCTCGATCCTCCTCGATCCTCCTCCTTCTGGATCCTCCTCGATGCTGCCCTCCTCTCTTCCCTGATGGCGTCCGGAAGATCTCTGGCCTTTCTCCGCAGACGGCTTTTTACGCATAGGATCCCCGGAACATGGGTTGTCGCTTGGCTTTGGTTTCAAAATGCTGATCCCGCTGAAGCGCTGGCCCCGTTTCTGCGCCTCTGGTTGTTCCCAATCGTGCTCCAGCTGCAGCCCAGGCGTTTCCAGTCCTTCCAAATAGGCCAGAAAAATTAGCAAATGCCCCCCCGAAACAAAAACAATCGGAAGTGATTACACATTCGATGCTGATTCGTTGATCCTCTGGGCCGCAGAAGCCCCCTTGGGGCGTCGTCGCTTTCAGGAAATATCAAGCGGGAGCCCCGTTTCTGCTTTCAAAAGGCGCTGTCGAAAACACAGCCAGCGGGTGCTCTCCATCAGCCCCGCCTTGTGCGGAGCCTTTGGAGGAGCCCACGGAGCTAGACATGGAGCCACGACTCCAGACTGGCCCAAACCTCTCGAAGACGATCCACTTCCCCTGCAAGGAACCCGGCGCCATGCCATGACATGCTTTGCGGTGTTGTGTTCTGCGCCGCTGTGCGATTCCATGCTTTGCGTCGCAACGCTTTGTGATGCAATGCTTGACTGCGCAGTGCCACGCAATGCTATGGCATGCCCTGCCGTGCTTTTCTACGTCATGCCATGCCGTGCTCTACCATGCATCGCGTACCCTCTCGCGATCATCGCCCTGCTCGACTTCCGACTGTGCGAATAGAGCGGATACCTACGCCATGGTGAGGGATATGGGAGGGAGGGGCAGGACGTCGGATATGACGCGAGCGCGCCTGGCTCGTTAACCCCCCCCTCCTGCCTCCCCTTCCTCCTCTCCCTCCTCCTCCCTTCTCCTCCCTCCTTCTCCTCCCTCCCTCCGTCCCTCCTGCTCCTCCATCCTCCCTGCGTCCCTCCCTCCCTCCCTCCCTCCTCCCTCCCTCCGTCCCTCCCTCCCTCCCTCCCTCCGTCCCTCCTTCCGTCCCTCCCTCCCTCCCTCCCTCCGTCCCTCCCTCCGTCCCTCCCTCCGTCCCTCCCGCCCTCCCTCCCTCCTCCCTCCCTCCCTCCCCTCCCCCCCCCTCGTGGCCGCACGGCCGCGCAGCGCGCGCTGGGCACCCGCGCGGGCAGCCCCCCTCGCCCGCAGGGGCGCGTTCGTGCTTGCCGTCTGCGCCCCCTCCCTTCCTGTGGCGGTGTGCCGCAGAGAGCAGCCCGCAGAGAGCAGCGACACGCGGCCTCCGCCACAGGCCGGGCTCTCCCCCCGCCCCGCCCCCGCCGCCATTCCCCGACCCTTCCCGCTTCCGTCACTCGGGGGCGGCCAAGAGAGGTATGGGGCCGTCGAAATTGAGGGGGGGTGTGTGCACGGTGTTTTGTTGTTCTACGGGGCGAGGGTTTTGTTTTTGCACTCTTTGGGTTTGGGGAGGGCCGCGGTTGAACCCCTTTTGGTTGTGTTGGTTGTGGGTGTGGGCCGGTCGGGGTGGGGTGGTTGGTTGCAGGGCACACCCTTGGGGAGGTTCCCGGGGTCTGGGGCGGGGTGGCACCCATCATGGCCGGGGCCAGGCGGCATTTCGTGAGGGCGGCATGGGCGGCACGGGCGGCCGCTGGCTGGCATGCGGCATTGTTTATCAGCTGGCGGGGCCGGCGGCATGTGAGCGGCCCTTGGGGGGGGCCAGGGACGCAATGAAATAAGACGAGGCGCCCTGAAATCTGGGGAAATGTCATGGCCCCCGCCGTGATATCCACCCACCCACCCTAGTCATCACCCCCCTCTTGAAAAGGGGCCCAAGGACACACAATTAAATAGGCACAAATAAAAAGATCCCCTATATTTTCCAATCTGTTCTTGGTTTTTGTCTTCCCGCCCAATTCCTATATTTTCCAATATTTTCCGGGGGATCCACGACTAATTGTGTCTGTGTGTCTTTTACCCTCCTGATTTTTGCCGCCCCCGGCACCTCCTCCTCCTCCTGGCCTCCTGCTGCCCGGCCTTGCCGCACGGGGCCGAAGGGCGCCTGCATCCTCCGCGCCCGCGGCCTCGATGCTGCACCGTCTGAGTCCGACCTCGCCTCCTCCTCCTCCGCCTCCTCCTCCGCCTCCTCCTCCTCCTCCTCCGCCTCCTCCTCCGCCTCCTCCTCCGCCTCCGCCTTCTCCCAGTCGCACTCCGAAGCCAGTCGAAAGGGCGGGCCGAATGTTTCGCCCGAGACTTCCTCACCACTTATGACCCTGAAGCGTGGAAGTTGACGACTGTTTCACACATGGAAGGCAGGTGGTTTTCAAAATGTGACTCTCGCCGAAACGCCGCGCACATGCGTCGTAACACATGCAAGAGCTTCACGGATGGAGGGAGGGCCGTTTTCAAAATGTGGCTCTCGCCTTGGCCCCGCGCACGTTTGTTTTCAGCCTTAACGAATTGAGGGCGGGTCGTCGTCAAAAGGCGGCTCTCAACATAACGCCGCGCACATTCTCCGCACATAAATGCAAGGGCTTCACGGATGGAGGGCGGCTCGGGTTCAAAATGTGGTTCTTGCCTGAACACCGCGCTCATTCGCGTTAAGGACTACAAATTAAAGGCTGGTCGTTTTCAAATGTGACTATTGTCTTGGCACCGCGCACATTCGTCGTACGGCTTGCAAGATTTCACGTGTGGAGGGCGGGTGTTTCCCAATATGTGGCTCTCGCAAATACGCCGCGCACATTCGTCGTAAGAACTTGCAGGGGATTCACAAATGGAGGGGCGGGCCGTTTTCACAATGTGGCTCTTGCCTGAGCGCCGAACATACTCATTTTCAAGACTAACCCATGGAGGGCGGGCCGTTTTCAAAACGTAGCCATTGCCATGACACCGCGCACATTCGTTGCAAAAAAATATCCCGGCAAAGCAACCTAACAGCGATGTGTAGGAGCATATCTGGAAGCATTCCCCTTAAGATTCGGATGAGAATCCAGTTGTAGAATTCTGCTGTTCTCGAAGTCGTAGTCGCATTCGCGATGACAGTCGCAGTGGCAACGGCAGTCGCAGTCACAGCCTCAGCCTCAGCCTGCCTCAGCCTCAGCCTCAGCCTGCCTCAGCCTCAGCCTGCCTCAGCCTCAGCCTCAGCCTGCTTCAGCCTCAGCCTCAGTCTGCCTTCAGCCTCGGCGTCAGCCTCAGGCTGCCTCAGCCTCAGCCTGCATCAGCCTCAGCCTCAGCCTCAGGCTGCCTCAGCATCAGCCTGCCTCAGCCTCAGCCTCAGCCTGCCTCAGCCTCAGCCTGCCTCAGCCTCAGCCTCAGCCTGCTTCAGCCTCAGCCTCAGTCTGCTTCAGCCTCGGCCTCAGCCTCAGCCTGCCTCAGCCTCAGCCTGCATCAGCCTCAGCCTCAGCCTCAGCCTGCCTCAGCATCAGCCTGCCTCAGCCTCAGCCTCAGCCTGCCTCTGCCTCAGCCTCAGCCTGCTTCAGCCTCAGCCTCAGGCTGCCGTCGGCCTCGGCCTCAGCCTCAGCCTGCCTCAGCCTCAGCCTGCATCAGCCTCAGCCTCAGCCTCAGCCTGCCTCAGCATCAGCCTGCCTCAGCCTCAGCCTCAGCCTGCCTCAGCCTCAGCCTCAGCCTGCTACAGCCTCAGCCTCAGTCTGCCTTCAGCCTCGGCCTCAGCCTCAGCCTGCCTCAGCCTCAGCCTGCATCAGCCTCAGCCTCAGCCTCAGCCTGCCTCAGCATCAGCCTGCCTCAGCCTCAGCCTCAGCCTGCCTCAGCCTCAGCCTCAGCCTGCTTCAGCCTCAGCCTCAGTCTGCCTTCAGCCTCTGCCTCAGCCTCAGGCTGCCTCAGCCTCAGCCTGCATCAGCCTCAGCCTCAGCCTCAGCCTGCCTCAGCATCAGCCTGCCTCAGCCTCAGCCTCAGCCTGCCTCTGCCTCAGCATCAGCCTGCTTCAGCCTCAGCCTCAGTCTGCCGTCGGCCTCGGCCTCAGCCTCAGCCTGCCTCAGCCTCAGCCTGCATCAGCCTCAGCCTCAGCCTCAGCCTGCCTCAGCATCAGCCTGCCTCAGCCTCAGCCTCAGCCTCAGCCTGCCTCAGCCTCAGCCTCAGCCTGCCTCAGCCTCCGCATCAGCCTGCTTCAGCCTCAGCCACAGCATGCCTTCAGCCTCGGCCTCAGCCTCAGCCTGCCTCAGCCTCAGCCTGCATCAGCCTCAGCCTCAGCCTCAGCCTGCCTCAGCATCGGCCTGCCTCAGCCTCAGCCTCAGCCTGCCTCAGCCTCAGCCTCAGCCTGCTTCAGCCTCAGCCTCAGTCTGCCTCCAGCCTCGGCCTCAGCCTCCGCCTGCCTCAGCCTCAGCCTGCATGAGCCTCAGCCTCAGCCTCAGCCTGCCTCAGCATCAGCCTGCCTCAGCCTCAGCCTCAGCCTGCCTCAGCCTCAGCCTCAGCCTCAGTCTCAGCCTGCTTCAGCCAAAGCCTCAGTCTGCCTTGAGCCTTGGCCTCAGCCTCAGCCTCAGCCTGCCTCAGCCTCAGCCTGCATCAGCCTCAGCCTCAGCCTCAGCCTGCCTCAGCATCAGCCTGCCTCAGCCTCAGCCTGCCTCTGCCTCAGCCTCAGCCTGCTTCAGCCTCAGCCTCAGTCTGCCTTCAGCCTCGGCCTCAGCCTCAGCCTGCCTCAGCCTCAGCCTCAGCCTCAGCCTGCCTCAGCATTCAAAATGTGGCCCGGGAATGGAATTCTGGGAACTCGAAGAACACGAAGTGGCCTACAGTTGGCTCCGGGCATTCAAAATCATGCCCAGGAATGGAGTTCTGGGAACTCGAAGACCACGAAGTGGCCTACAGTTGGCTCCGGGCATTCAAAATGTAGCCCAGGAGTGGAGTTCTGGGAAGTCGAAGAGCACGAAGTGGCTTACAGTTGACTCCGGTTATTCAAAATGTGGCCCGGGAATGGAGTTCTGGGAGGTCGAAGAGCACGAAGTGTGTGACTGTTGGCTGAAAACGAGCCCGGTTCTGTTCCCGGTTCTCCTCCCCGGCACCCGCCCAGACCCCCCTGAGGAGTCATGATGCTCTCTTTTGAGCCTACTAGAAACCTATCAGCAAACGCTGTTAGGTAACAAGAGCGTCACGGATGGAGGGCTGGTGATTTTCAAAATGTGGCTCTCGCCTTAGCGCAGCGCACATTCGTCTGAACAAATTGAAACAAAACTGCACGGATCCAAGGTTGGCGGTTTTCCAAATGTGGTTCTCGCCTCAACGCCGCGCACTTTTCTCATGCAAAATTGCACGAGCTTCGCGGATTAAGGGCGGCTCGTTTCCAAACTGTGACTCACGCCTTAGCGCCGCGCACATTCCCTTCAGAAAATGACACAAAGGTTTTGCATGTTCTGACTGCCAGGGAGCAACACTTACTTTGCTTCGCTGTGTTGACGTCCCAGAAACGGTGTTCCGGCGCGGCGCAGGAGGGCCAAGACGCAGCAGTCAAATTAGCTCGTGGTGTTGACGTCCTGCGACTAGGTGTTCCGGCACGCTTCAAGATTCTCGCACAGATGTCCCCCAAGGGGGCAATACCCTCAGTGGGAATGAATCCTTGTAGGGGCCCATGGATGGGGAGCTTGGAGCCAGAGTTCATGGGCCTTGAGTTTACACTGGGCCTCCTCCTCCTCCTCCTCCTCCTCCTCCACGACCGACCCCGACGACGACGACGACAACGGCCCCTGGCGGCCTCGGCCAAGCGGGCGACCCATCTCTCCTCCTTCTCCTTCTCCAGTCTGGCCTCGCCATGCTCGCGAGAGCAGGGGCAAGTGGCGGCGAGATGGGGGGGGCATAAGCCACAAGGGGGGAATGAGAGGTGGACGAGGGTGGAGGAATGGGCACATGGGGAGGAGGGATGGGAAAGGGGAACCTGGAGGAATGATGATGGGAAAGAAAAGGAAAGAGGATGGGGGAGGAGGAGGAGGAGGAGCAGACGGCAAATATAGGCAAAGGAAGAGGAACACGAGGAAGTGGAAACAAGATGAAGAAAAGGACAGACGGGAGACAACATCGCGGTAGAAGAAGAGGACGACGGCAACAACGATACCGCCACAACATAATACTATTGTGATCAACATCTTCAAAAATTGTGTTGCCACGGCCGGCAAGCAACATCACCAAGCATACCTGATAAGAAATACGCTCGTGGAGGCCAACACAAACAAAGAACAAATGCCTTGCCTAGATCCATGGTGCTCGCTCCACGCTACCGGTTTTGATGTTGATAAAACCAAACTCCGCATCCCTGTCTTTCTAAAACTAGCGGGCTACGATATTGCATCGTTCATGCTGGCATGTGCCTGGAACTTACGCCGAGAGCAACTCTTGCGGGCTTTCCTGGGGATCCCACCAGCACTCTGGGCATAGGTGGTCTGGAAAGTTTTCTGTTCCAAGCCCTCTCCCCCCCGGGGAAGGGTTTACCCTTCCCCTTTACCCCTTCCCCGGAACCTAGAAGGGGTGGGATCGCGGGTCGTTGGAGCGTCCAAGATGGCCCAAGACAGTTCTAGGAGAGCCTCAGAGAGCGCATGATGACTCCCAAGATAGCCCCCCAAAAACTCAATATGGCTCCCAAACTGCTTCAAGGGGGCCCAAAGACCGCTCCAAGACGCTCCGAATGACAACGAAGCCCCCCAGGAGGCCGCCAAGAGGCCAACATCCTTCAACAACCTAAAGCAAATACATAAATTTAACCTTCTCGCCTTTTCGCTTCCGATGGCCTTCCGAAGCCTCAAGACAGCTAGAAGAGGGCCCATGAGCGGCCCATGAGGGCCCAAAGAGAAGCCCAATGGAACCCCAAGACGGCCCCAAGAGCGCACAAGAGCGCTCCAAGAGCGCCCCAAGAGGGGTCCACGAGGCGATTGTTTGGGCTCCTGAGGGGGGTCGTAATTAGAGAGAGAGAGAGAGAGAGAGAGCGCGCGCGTTTCACGGGCGCCTGCCTTGGGAACATTCGGCGGCGTGCTTTGAACCGAGGGGTGGCCCCCCCCAACACTCGGCGCCGTCGATCAGAACCAGGGGGACTCCCCTCCCTCTAACCCCCCCCCCCTCCCGAACCCCCCCCCCAGCGCCGGCGCCCACGCTGGCGGCCGCCGCAGTGCCAACGCAGCGACGATGACCAGAGAGGGCCCAGGAGGAAGTGGAGGGGCGGGGGTTCAACCCCCCCTTCCCGCGCAGGCGCTGGCGCTGGCGGCGGCCAGCAGCGCCGACGGCGGGGACGCAGCGATGATGACCAGAGAGGGACCAGAGGCCGCAGAGGGAACACACAAATCGCCATATCGAGCCCTCGCATGCTCCTCAGACGCACCCGAGACCCTTCTGACGAGACCTCAAGACGCATCCATTAGAACTCTGACCCAAAGACAAAACAGTGGCGGGAAGAGCCGAAGGCCACACCACCACAACCACCACCACCACCACTACCACAGATCACCATACCATCACCACCACCGCCACCACCACAACCACCACCACAACCACCACAACCCACCATCACCACAACCACCGCCATCACCACGAACCACCTCACCACCACCACCACCACCACCAAGAACGCCACCACCACCAGCACCACCACAACCCAGCACAACCCATAACCACCACCACCACCACAAACCAACACACCATTACCACCACCACCACCGCCACCACCCCCACCGTCACCACAGCCCACCACCAACACAACCACCACAAACCACCACACCACTACCACAACCACCACCACCACCACCACCCACCACCCACCACCCACCACCACCACCAGCACCTCTACAAGCAGCGCCAACATCACCACCAACACCGCAGCCCATCACCCCCACCAGCACCACAAACCACCACGCCATCACCACCACCACCACCGCCACCACCACGACCACCACCATCACCACCTCAAGCCAACACCACCACCACCAAACCACCACACAACCACCACCACAACAGCCACCACCACCACCACCCCCACAGCAGCTCACCACCACCACCACCACCACCACCAATACAACAACCTACCACCACTACCACCACCATCACCACCACCACCACCACCACCACAATCTACCACACCACCACCACCACCGCCACAACCACCAACCACTACTACCAGCACCACAACCCACCACCACAACCACCACAACCACCACAACCGTCCAGTTCCACCCCCCCCTTCCAAGCGACCACAGAACGCGCTCTTTCTAATTAGAGCTTCCATCTTTTCTCACCGATCTCCTCCAAGATGGCACCAAGAGCGCTCCCAAGGCTCCCAAGAGCGCCACAAGAGGGCTCCAATAGTCACCCCAAGAGGGCCCCAAGAGGCGCCCAAGAGGTCTCCAAGAGGCTCCCAAGAGATCCTCAAGAGGCTCCAAGAGACCCCCACGAGGCCCCAAGAGCAAACCAAGAGGGACGCTTCCTCTGTGTGCTGCCCACATCCCTGGTCGAGGCAACTCCTCTGGGCATCGTCTCTGGATGGGCTGGTGGGATTACGTTTTTTGGCCCGCGGGCTCGCGAAGCATGTCGAACGCGGGGCAAAGCTATAGGGAGGACCGCGCCGAAGGCTGGTGGGGTTACCCGAAGCGTCAAGGTCAAGAACTTCTCGGGCCGCCCTGCGGCGCTTCGGATCCCAGCTCCACACGTTCGGCCGGAGCGGCATCGAATGAAGCCCCATAGATAGACTCAAGAGGGGCCAAGCAAGAGGAGTGCAGACGAACTGAAGGACTAGAGTCAAGGGGCCCAAGGACACACACATAAATACACACAAATAAAATGATCCCCCATATTTTTTCAATATTTTCTGGGTCTCTGTCTTCCCGCCCAATTCCCATATTTTCCCATCTTGCCTTGGGGATCGACGATTCATTGTGTCTGTGTGTGTTTTTCCCCTCCTGATAGAGCTGGGCACCTGGACTCTCTTCCCCCAGGGCGGCTCCAGCAACCCCGGGGGGACCCGAGCGGGCCCCCCAGGGACGGGTGCACACGGGAAGGAGGAGGCCCCACGGGCGGCAGCGTGCCGCAGGGAGAGCGAGAGGGGGCGCAGGCCTGCTTCTCGGGGGGTGCCAGAAATGATGCCCCTGGCCCAGGGTGCCCCCAGCGTTTCGCTCCATTCCTGAGCCCCTGGGGCCCTCCGGGCCTCGCGAGGGCTGTCCTGGTGGAGGCCGTCTGGGCCACCCCGAGAATCCCGGGGGAAATTACCTGGGGCCAAGGGCGCTTCTGGCAACGCCCGATCTTTTCACTCAGAAGCTCGCCATCGCTCGGACGTCCATTCCCTGTTTTTTTTCGGTTTCGTGCGTGGTTGTTTCGGCAAATGGTAAAGGATGCTCCTCGATGGTCCTCGCCGAGGAAAAATCGCACACGTCCGAGCGATGCCAAGAAAGGCGGCTTCTGGGAAGCCAGCTGCATGGCATGCTGCCCGGGCAGAGGGCGCAGAAAGCTGCCCGGAGGGCCAGCAGAAGCCTTCTGAGCCTCCTGAGCGGGCCTGCCACCTGTGACTGAAGGGGCCCAGAGACACACCAAAAAATACAAACAAATCCCATGCTCCCCGCTATTTTCCTATATTTTCAGGGTTTCTGTCTTCCCCCCAACCTTCCTATATGTTTCCATCTCTTCCTGGGAATCGACGATTCATTGTGTCTGTGTGTGTTTTCCCCTCCTGAGTGATGTCCCCCTTCTTAGGGGGACTCAGAGGTACTCATACCGCCACTCCCCGGACCTCTCCCGCGGTGCGTCCTGCCCAGACTTCCGAAGCGAATCCAGCGGTGGCGAACGAGGCCTCCCAGTAGGCCCCCAAAAGAGGACAAAGAAGGGAAGCGTAGAGGTATGGGTACATTGTCTAGAAAAAGAAGACAGAGCCATATACATAAACTTTTGGCGCTCAGCGCATATTTCTGTGATCTGCGCTGGGAGCGCGCCAGGGGCGGCGCTGGGGGCCCAGCGCGGATCCAAGAAATCCGCGCGGAACGCCAGAATTTATGTTTGTGGCGCTTGTTCTTCTTCGAACCTCGTCCTCCTCTGATTCTGAGCGCGCCTGCTACCGTTGATTTCACCCTCTGGGCGCGCAACTGTTTGAAAAATCATCTTCGAGGCTCCCGTGCTTCGGGGGCGGCCAAGAGGGGGGCGTCCAAGAGGGGGGGTGCACATCATGGCCGGCGGCATGTGCGCGGCCCAAGGGGGGGCCAAGGACGTAATGGAATAAGAAGAGGCGCCATGAAATCTGGGGGAAGATTATGGGCCCTTCCATGATATCCACCTCCCCCCTAGTCATCACCCCCCTCTTTGCCGCCCCCCATCTTCTGAGCTCCCGTCCTGGGCCTCCAAAAGCTCGGGGGGGGGGGGCGGCAGGACGGCACAGGCGGGCCTTCTCCGCCGCGGCCTCCCTCGAGTTGCCCTTGTCCAGCTGGGGCGACGCGCCGGCGCGCGCGGACGAGATTTCAGGGGAGGGAGGATCAGAGCAAGGGGGGCGGGAGGAGGAGGAGGAGGAGGAGGAGGAGGAGGAGGAGGACCAGTGGGAACCCAAGAGTCATCAACGATGTTGGAATTAACCCTCCCTCCAAGCTCCCTCTTCATAGGCCCCTACAGCGGTTCATTTCAATTGAGGGAACTGCCTCGTTGGAAGGCAACCGTTTGAAGATCCTGAAGCGTGCCAATACATTGTTCTCGGGATTTGAACGCCATGTATCAACCTGACTGCTGCGTCTTGGCGATCCAGAACGCAATGTGCGGGCCTTCGACACAGCGAATCAACATAATTGTTGCGCCCGTATAATCCTGAACCCTCCAAAACACCATTTCTGATACGCTGATCATGGGAACCCGTGAAACTCTTGCAAGTACAAAAAACGAATGTGCGCGGCGCTAATGCGAGAACCACCTTGAAAAGGAACCACCCTGAATCCGTGAATCTCTTGCAAAAAGTAACAACGAATGTGCGCGGTGCGAAGGCGAGAACCACATGCTGAAAACCACCTGCCCTCAATCCGTGAACCTCTTGTAAATGTTTCAAACGAATGTGCGCGGCGCTGAGGCGAGAACCACACTTTGAAAACGACCTGCCCTCAATGCGTGAAGCAATTGCAAATTGTGAAAACGAATGTGCGTGGCGCTAAAGGTGAGTGACATTTTCAAACCCACCCACCCTCAATCCGTGAAACTCTTGCATTTAAAATGAACGAATGTGCGCGGCGATAAGGCGAGGGCCACATTTTGAAAACCACCCGCCCTCCATCTGTGAAACATGTTGACACTGTTTAAACTTCAGAATCATACATGGTGGGGAAGTCTCAGGCCAACCGCCCGGCCCGCCCTAAAAACTGGCCTCGGGGTGCGACAGGGAGGAGCTATCTTTAAGAAGAAAGAATGGAGGAGGAGGAGGGTGAGGAGGAGGAAGGAGGAGGAGGGAGAAGGAGGAGGGAGGAGGGAGGAGGAGGGGGGGGAGGAGGAGGAGGAGGGAGAAGGAGGACGGAGGAGGGAGGAGGGAGGAGGGAGGAGGGAGGAGGGAGGAGGAGGAGGAGGAGGAGGGTGCGGAGGAGGAAAAGCTGGCGCACGGGAAGGAGGGAGAGATGGACGAGGAGGAGGAGGAGGAGGAGGAGGAGGAGGAAGGAGGGGGTGGAGGAGGGTGGGAGGAGAGGAAAGGGAAGGAGGTCGGCGGCGAGCGAGCGAAGGAGAGGGCCGCCTCATGTGGCGGCGGGACTTCTCAGGAACCCTCGCACCTTCTTGAAAGACTCTGGCGTCTCCGGGGAAAGCTTAGAACATTTGCCAGGGGGACGTAAGACCTGGGTACAGGGGACTCGGAAATCCCCGACGAGGTCGTCAAAAAAATGACGAGGCCGAGCCTGCATTTTGACGAGGCCTCCCGCTGCAGACATCCCACGAAACTCCTCCTCGTCAAAATCCGAGCCGCGGTCGTCAAAAAACGATGGCGAACCCGAGTCCCGGCAAACCCGGGTCTTACGCTCCCCCGAATTTGCCAGAAGGCCCGGGGACTTCCGAGCCTTCTGACCAGGCCGGCCCCTTTTCCCCTTTCCCCCCCTCCGTTCGCCGCTGGGGAGGAGGAGGCGAAGCAGGAGGGGAATGGGCATGAGGAGGGGTAGGGTTAGGTCGGGCATGTCCACCTACAGGCGGTTCTTGGAAGACAAGTAGAAGATGATCGAAAAACATAGAGAATAGTAAATCAATAGTCGAAAAGTCGTCCCCAGCCTGTTTGTTTGACCCTTGTTGAACAGGTGACATGCCCGCCTGAAGGGGCGGGGGCGACGAGCGCGAGCAGGGGAAACGGGGGCAGGAGAAGGCGGAGCCCCCTCCTGAGCTCACCTCCCCCGCCCAACCCGGGGGCCACATGCGAACCCTACCCCTCCCCCTTTCTGAGGGGGAGGGTGGGGTTCACTTCGCTCGGGAGCTCCTGAACAAAGTGAACCCCACCCTCCCCTCAGAAATCGTGGGGGGTAGGGGTAGTGTTCGCATGTGGCCCCAACACCCTCCCCCTGTGAACCCCGAGGCTCGAGGCCCACTGTGCCGAGCCGACGCGATCTGGGCCCGCCCCCGGCACTGCCGAGGAGGGAGCGAGGGAGGTCTCAGGGAGGCCAGAGGCCCGGCCAAAGCGAGGACGGGGACCCTTTCTGGCGAACCCGCACCCCCTGTGCGCATTCGTTCCGAGGGCACTCCTCACCCCCAGAGGTCCCCGGAGCTCCTCCTCGTCCTCCTCGCGGCCCGCTCTGCCGACCCGGCGCACTCTCGAGGAGACCAGGAGGCACCGCTGCTGCCGCTCCCTGGGCTTCTCCTGGGGTGCGCCCTGACCAGGACCTCGAGGCGAGTCCAACGGTGGCAACAAGGGCCTCGCAAGAGGTCGAACAAAGGGAGAACGGGCGAGGGGTAGCGGTATGGATGCCGTGTCCTCCTCTGAACTCTGGGCCCACACTGAGCTTAGCAAAAGGAGGAGTGAAGAGCGGCCAGAGGCTCGGTCAAAGAGAGGACGGGACCCCCCTGGCTAACCCACGCCCTTGGGTCGCCCTCGCTCCGAAGACCCTCTTCCCCGCCTGTCCCGTTGTGCCCGCGGAAGTATCTCCCGTCCGATCTTGCACAAATTCGGCGGCGAACCAGGGGGGGATGTGAGAAGGGGCGGGTCTCCTCGAAAGGCCCTCCGCCTTCTGAGAGGGCCTTCTCCTTCTCAATTCCCCCCTCGCTCGCCGCAGACAAACGGGTGCCATTCAAGCCCCCGTTTCCCCCCTTCCCTTGGCCCCTGGAAGCATCCCCCCACCTTCGGACCTGGCCCTCACCCTAATACCCTCGCCATAACCCCAAAATGCGAGTGCTGTGAAGAAAATCCGGCCGGCGACACCCAAGCCCCAACCCTACAACCCACGCGCTACAACAAGCTGCGCGCTCTTCGCATTCTCTGTCATTCCCTCCTCTGCCGTCCTCGACGAGAAGCTAACTATATATGTATATATGTATATATGTATATATGTATATCTATATATATATATATATATGTATCCCGATATCTATATATAATATATAATGTACGAAGCCCCCGCGCGCTTCGAGCGCGCCTAGCGTCGTCAGAGCTGATCCAGGGCCGCCCGCCACCACGGCCAATGTCAAGACGCTGCGACTCTGAAGAGTCCCGTCGTCACTGCGAAGTCGACATCCACTGCGCCCGTCGCCATCACTGGTCTGACCCACGCGCTCGTCGCACCGGCGTAAGCTCTAGCCGAAAGCGGTTCCCGATTGCAAACTCGACTTCGGACAACCGCGACGACGCCGACGGCAGCCCCTGGAAAACTCGGAAGCGTCGTGGCGGCGGCCCACCCGCGGAAAGGCTCGCGCGCATAAATATATATATATATATATATAGATATATACCCGGGAAGTGTTCCCAGAAACCCTGCGGGGAACATCTTCGGGGGTCCGGCCGGGCCTCTTGAATTGAAACCTCTTGGGGGCCTCTCGGGGGGAGGAGGAGAAGAAGGAGGAAGAGGAGGAGGAGAGGGAGGAGGGAGAGGATAAGCAGGAGATGGGGTTGAAGGTGTGCCTCAGACACACCTTCAACCCCATCTCCTGCTTTCCAGTGGAAAGCTGTGTTCCCCATCTGTGTTCCGAAGGCTTTCCAGTGGAAAGCCTTCAGAAGACAAATTCGGGAGTCTCTTCGTGCCTCACGTGCGGAGGCAACATTTGTTCCCTGAAGATGTTTCCGAAGAGCCTTCTGCGAACATCTTCAAGTTCTTTTCGGGCCTCTAGAACCATTGAATTACTGGGGCCATTCGATTTATGGGCTTCATGTGAATTACGGGACTTACCAGGATCATGGGAATTATGGGGATTATGAAAATGAAAAAATGATGCGGGCTGTGAGGGTTATTGGAACTATTGGAAATATAAGGAAAACGGGCGTTCTGGACCCTATGGGAAGTAGGGAACAATGACAATTGTGGACACCGTGGGAACTACGGGAAGTCTGGCAAGTATGGGAAGCGTTGGGATTACGGGAATGATTGGAATTATTTGACATATTGGAGTTCTAGGAATATGGGATGGGAAATGTGAGAATCATGGGAAATATGGGACATAAGAGAGGTTTCGCCATTATGGAACTTTTGGGAATTATGAGGAATATGTGAGGTCATCCGTTGAAGAACTGTTGCCGGACCCTTCTTGGTGTCACTCCGACGCAATGTTGCATCCCCGATTGTGAGAAAGTTCCAGAAGAGCTTGCCGGACTGAACCAGGCTGAATCGAGTGGCCGCCAACCAATGCTCCCCCCAAATAGTGGTCGCGATGGAGACCCTGACCGAACCGAGCAAAATGAGTCTGTGGATCAGTCAACCTCGACTCGGTAAATCTGATCGGATCGGAATGTATGAAGGGGCCCTGGGACACACAAATAAATGCACACAAATAAAAAGATTCCCTATATTTTCCTTTAGTTTCGGGGTTTTTGTCTTCCCCCCACTTCCCATATTACCTAACAGCGAAGACTGATAGGTTTCTAGTGGGATCAAAAGAGAGCAGCAGATCACTCCACAGGGGGGTCCGGGCAGGTGTTGGGAGTTGCCGGGCGGCAGTGAGCCGGGCTCGTTTTTCACCAACAGTCACACACTTCGTGCTCTTCGCCTTCCCAGAACTCCATTCCCAGGCCACATTCTGGGGGGCCGGATGCAACTGTAGGCCACTTCGTGCTCTTCGACATCCCAGAACGCCATTCCCGGGCCACATTCTGGATGCCCGGAGCCAACTGTAGGCCACTTCGTGCTCTTCCATTTCCCAGAACTCCATTCCCGGGCCACATTTTGGATGCCCGGAGCCAACTGTAGGCCACTTCGTGCTCTTCCATTTCCCAGAACTCCATTCCCGGGCCACATTTTGGATGCCCGGAGCCAACTGTAGGCCACTTCGTGCTCT